TACTTTGGTATGCTATTTTCACTAATATATGCATTTTAAAGATGCTTTTCTTTGATATATGCATCATGTCACACATTGTTCCTTACTTAGTCTGACCAGCATAGAGAGTAAGAGAAAATAAGTGGCTTCTGCTTTCAGAATGTGCCGTGCATTACTGGAGCTGTAATAGGTAGTTCCAATCTTATTCACTAGACCTTTACGGTATTCGGTTGTATGATGTGCGCATGTGTATCTTGTCCTATCAGAGTTCAGTGGAAGAACACATGCCTTGCATGAAAACAGGTTCAACCCCTGCAGGGCCGTCTTAAGCATATCCAGTGCCGTGGTGCAAATATCTCTCCGGCGCTGCCCCCTCTCCATTTCCCAGAGTTGTCAACCTTTTTTGGGGGGGGGGGCCTTCAGTCTGGCTCATTTACATTGTGTGGTCCGATGCGCACTCGGCGCTGTACATAAGTAAGAAGCGCCCGGATCACAGCCCAGATGGCCTCCTGCGAAGCCTCCCTACTAAGCGCCTGGCGCCCCTTACCTGCCCCCATCTGGGGAAGTCCGCACAACAAGAGGGCCAGCAAGCAGATCAGGTGGCTCGCCTGCTGTCCCATCCTCACTCGGCACCGGGATTGCACAGGGCACTTCCCTGCTCCACTCTCAGACTCCGTAGGGAGGTGCGCAGGCAGCGCCGTGGCCAGAGGGGGGTGGGAGAGACACGCCCGCCCCGTCCCACAACCGCCCCCGATTGCACCTGCCAGGCACCCAGGCAGCCCCGGCCGGAGGGGACGCAAAGTAGCTTCCCTGAGCCGGACGCAGTTCACTCCAATGGGCAGCTGAGAGGAGAGGAGCGGGTTGCCCCAGAGCGTGGAAGGGAGCACGCCCTGACTCTCCTTCCCAGACACTCAGCCTGTGGCGCCCTCCAAAATCTGGCACCCTGGCACCCTGCGCCACTAACGTCCATGGGTAAGATGCCCCTGAATCCCTGGCATCTCCAGGTGGGGCTGTGAATGAATCTTGTCTGAAGCCTGCCAGCTGTTGTAGACCAAGAGTAGGCAAAGTGATGCCCTTCAGATGTTGATGAACTGCAACTCCCTAACCATTGGCCATGCTGACTGGCGCTGGTGGGAGTTGGGGTCCAACAATATCTGGTGCTCACCACATTGTTGGAACCTGTACTGATGGACCAATAGGCTTCCATAAGGCGGTTTCCTAGCACCCTGATCCTACCTATCCACCAGATCTTCACTCTTAGTATCACACATATTTGGTTATATATGCAGACCCTACAAGTGTCCATTTTCTCCAGGGATGTCCCTGATTTAGAGAAGTTGTCCTGGTTTCTGATTTGATCCTGGTATGTCCCACTTTTCCTTAGGATGTCCCTATTTTCATTGGAGAAATGTTGGAGGGTATGGAGTTATCTGACCCCCCAAGCTGTCTGAAGGCAGGTATAGGGAAGGGGTTTTTTTAATGTTTAATGTTTTATTGTGTTTTTATACGTGTTGGAAGCTGCCCATAGTGGCTGGGGCAGCCCAGTAAGATGTTTGGGGTATAAATAGTAAAATTACCATTATGGAATGTGATGTCCCTATTTTCATCTGATAAATGTTGGAGGGTATGTATATATAAGAACACAAGTTCAGTCTCCAGCATTTCCAGTTAAATGGTCTCAAGAGAGTAGGACTGGAGGAAGACCTCTGCCTAAGATATAAGAGAGAGATTAATCAGAGATCACAGCACTGGCCTAGTTGGATCAATGTTCTGAACTGGCATCATATGGTAGTGGACTTTGCACTGCACTGGACAGCAGTCCTCATCATTTCTGACCATCAGCCATGCTGGCTGAGATTGACAGGCGTTTTGGTTCAACAGCACAAGGAGGGCACAGTTCCCCTGTTAATGGTATAAGAAGACATATTCATGATTTTGGCACTGCTGCAGTGGTGCTTACCCCGCACAGTGGAGAGAATAGTGGGAAACCAGAAACTCTCATTTCATGAAGTGTCCAATGGCCCTTTGGGGCTCTACTGGACCATTGCCACTTTTTTGTGTATGGCCTAGTTCTGAGACGACATGAGTCCGGTGAAATGTGTCTCTCAACTGTGCTTGTGAGGGAGCAGACAATGCTATAGCTTTGTTGAAACTACCTAGGTATGGAATTGATTGGGGCGAGGATGAGAAACCACTGGGTGCTCCATATAAGCCACTCTGAGCTTTCTAAGTATCAGTGGTGGTGGCGGTGTTGTTTCCCCATACCATAAAAAACTAGAGTCCTTTCTTGCACATGCATGCCTTTGTGGTTAAGGTGAACTGAGCTTTCCCTAGCCATGGAGGATCTGGGGTTCCCACCCTTCCACACACTTTGCTTCTTTCAAATAATAATTGCACAATTGAACATTCTCACTGTGGTCATTTCTTTTCCTTTTGTATATTGTTCATCCATTCTGGAGAGTTGTAAGGAACTGCATGCTGGAACTTGTGATCAAACCTGCTTTAAAAAAACAGACACCAAAAAAAACTGGGGAGGAATTATCTTCCTGGTGAGTCTTGAGATTGAAATGTGGGTAACTGCAAACCAGGGCTGTACATGGCTAGCATGTTTTGTGGCAAAATAGGTCGTTTCATATCGCTTGTCCCTTCTGCTCCCTGATTGCTGATACTACCACTGCTCTGTACCAGGATTCATTGCTGAAACACACTGTCAATGACTCCAACTCTGACACATGATTATGTGTGCCAATCATGCATTGCTGGATTCCACCTTCCCCCTCTCGCAAAAAAAACCCCACCCCATTATCATTAATAACTATCAAGTTATAGTATTTGCTTTACCTATTTAATTAATTTATATACCACTTTATCATTTAACAGTCTAAGCTGTCTACAAATCCCAGCAAAAAAAGAAATCAGTCCTGGCCCTGATCAAGCCAACACCTAGTTAGTTTCACATTTATTAGCAACACCCTAGAGGTCCCGGGCCCTAAGGAAGTCAGATTAGCCTCAACTAGGGCCAGGGCCTTTTCAACACTGGCTCTGGCCTGGTGGAACACTCTGTCTCATGAGACCAGGGCCCTGCAGGATCTGATTTCTTTCCACAGGGCCTGTAAGACAGAGTTGTTCTGCCTGGCCTTTGGCTTGGAATCAGCCTGATCCCTCCCCCTCTTTCCTTTCTCCTTCTGTGATGGAACTCCTATTTGGGGACTTCCCTGGCTTTTTTCTGGCTCATGTAGGACCAGTCTGGATAGTTTGGCCTTGGTGAAGATTTGACGTTTTCACCCCCCAAAAGTTTTTGATTTGAGTTTCTACTGAAATGAGGCTGCATTTTAATGTTGTATTTTAATCTTGTTTTTAAGTTGTATTTTAATCAATTGTTTTTATACCTGGTGTTAGCCGTCCTGAGCCCAGTCTTGGCTGGGGAGGGCGCGGTATAAACAGAATTTATTATTATTATTATTATTATTATTATTATTATTGCATAAGCTTGAGGGAAGACCCTTGCAATCTCTGCAGTGCAGCTTCTCCTTCCTTACTGACCATCCTGCCCTTCTTCCCCAACCAACCTTTGTTCCAGCTTCCTGCCCAACTAACTTCCCACCCCCTGACAGCCCCAGATTGCTATGGGTGGCCAGAACCAACCCAAGACCACCTGCAACTGAACCCCCCTGACTCAGACCAAGCCCAATCTCTACCATGTCAGCCAGATGCAGTTCAGGATTTAACTAACTGTCATATTGCCAGAACATTACCATGAACGACATTTTGCTGGTGGACTGATGTTGGGAAAAGTTACCTGAGGGGTCACAGATATTGTGGGGCCTGGACCCCAAAGGTGCAATTTAAAATGTTTAAAACTAAGAAGTAAATTCCTCAGCTTCGTATATGTGGAGAACAGGGCAAGGAACAGCTGTTCATAGGGCTTTAGCGTAATCTTTCTCTCATCTACCATTTAAGAAACTACTCATCCCCCAGAACACCAGCATCTTGAGTTTCCAGAAGAGCAACTGGAAATAATATCAGTCTTGTGGATGCAGCTCTCCTCACCAGTTCTCTTTTAGTAATGGATGCTTTTGAATTATGGTGCTGGAGGAGACTCTTGAGAGTCCTATGGACTGCAAGAAGATCAAACCTATCCATTCTGAAGGAAATCAGCCCTGAGTGCTCACTGGAAGGACAGATCCTGAAGCTGAGACTCCAATACTTTGGCCACCTCATGAGAAGAGAAGACTCCCTGGAAAAGACCCCGATGTTGGGAAAGATGGAGGGCACAAGGAGAAGGGGACGACAGAGGACGAGATGGTTGGATAGTGTTCTCGAAGCATGAGTTTGACCAAACTGAGGGAGGCAGTGGAAGACAGGAGTTCCTGGCGAGCTCTGGTTCATGGGGTGACGAAGAGTTAGACACGACTAAACAACAACAACTTACAATGGTCAGTTTATCTAACCCTGCCAGCCTGCACAAATTCATGCATTCAAGCTCTGCAGAATTGCAGGTGCTTGAGAAAGTTACCAGCTCTTGGCCACACTTTCTGATGCTTAGGTGTGCCCATCCCTGTCTTCAATTTAGGGAGGACAGTGAAGAATAGGCTGTCACCTTCACAGAATTGAGTAAGTGGTTTTGCCATGCGATATAGCACTGGCCTGCTTTCTTTTCGTTCCCCAGCTCAAGTACAAATTGAACTCATTAACACTGCCAGTCTCCAATGGAGGCCAGGGAAGGCGGTCATTATCTTCAGATGACAAGCAAGCCTTGCTGAGACTCTTGTACTTCCATTCATCCTTTTGTGTATGGGCGTGTGTGGCATGGCAGGGTGATGTCACCACCCAGAAAAGCCGCAGGGCATGCCCAGCCCCATTAATCAGAAAGATGATCCATCTTAAATCATGCAACCAATCCCACTTCCTTCAGAATATAAATAAAAAGAAGAGCCCTTAAGTCCCAGAGAAAGCAAGTGCACCCGCCTCCGTCTCATCACCTATCTGTGCTCTCTCTTTCTCTCTCCACGCCAGTCAAAATGTCTCACCAAACTTCAGTAAAGATCCAGAGGAGAGGCTTCAGCAACTCCTCTGCCATCGTGCCTGGCTGCGGCCGCACCAGCTTCACTTCTCGCACTGTAACCAGAGGTGGAAGCTGTGGTGTAGGTGGTGCTGGTTTTGGTAGGGTCAGTGGCGGCGGCGGCTTTGGCAGCCGAAGCCTCTGCAATCTGGGTGGATTTAATAGGGTCGCAGCGGCTGGTGGTGCTTCCAGCATCGGTTACGGTTGTGGTTACGGTGGTGGCCTTGGCAGTGGATTTGGGCTTGGTGGTGGAGCAGGTGGCAGCTATGGGCTGGTTGGAGCTGGCTTTGGCGGTGGGAGAGGCGGTCCCGGCTTCCCTGTTTGCCCACCTGGCGGGATCCAAGAAGTGACCATCAATCAGCAGCTGCTGGCACCTCTCAACTTGGAGATTGACCCCAACATACAGAGAGTCCGCAAAGAGGAGGGGGAGCAGATCAAGACGCTCAACAACAAATTTGCATCCTTCATCGATAAGGTGAGAAGTCAGATTTCATGAATTCCTTATCCTGTGACCCTTGAGTTGTTTCAAACCATTCAGTCGCTTTATTTCTGCTATTCTCCTTCATTGTAGCTCAGGCCACTATCACCATTTAACACAGGCACTACCAGGCATGTGCTCAGTGTCACAGAGCTGACAACTTTTTACTGGCCATGCTTTTGATTCTGAGAGCAGCACTTTCTGCAAAATTGTTGCAGCCGATCCCTTTTTGTTTGTTTGTTTTGCCATGGACCTAAAGTGATCAGGAAATCTTCTAGAGATGTGATTGTATTATGCCTGAAATTAACGTGGCTTCAAGGCAAATTTGCAGATTCTTTCTTGGGAGGAGCATCTGAGCACTCAATAATTTCAGTAAGATTGGTGAAATTCCACATAACCCCTTTACTTGGATAACAGTTTCAAGTTGCTGTTAGGCACTTGTCCAGGGCTGGTAAAATAAGTTGGCAAGCGGAGTCCAGAAACGTGGAGGGGTGAAGCAATTCTACCCCAGAGGGTTTGCATTTGATGCAGAAAGCAGGGCTGGAGGGAGAGATGACTCATGGTGAATAGCAGTGATGGATAGGAGAGAGTCAAATAGCAGCCCTGAAGATGCATGCAAGATGAGCCTTGAGTGGTTCACAGAGCTCATTCATTCATTCATTCATTCATTCATTTGCTCACATTCGTAATTTGCCTCATCCCAAAGTTTGAGTGCAGGTAATAATATATTAAGAGTGATTGTATTAACAGCCTGATCCTCTGCAAGCTTGCTTTGAAATAAATCTCAGTGTTCAGTGGGACTCACAGGTCAATGTGCTCAGCAATGCACTTAAAAGCCTCATTAAAAGTTAAATCAAATCAATTAAAACACAATGCAAAAATAATGTTATTTGCAATTTTACCCCACTTTTCCTCCAAGTAGCTCAAGGTGAAATGCATAGCCCAGCAATCCTATTTTATCTTCACAACAGCCCTTGGAGGTAGGTCAGACAGAGAGAGAGAGAGAGAGAGAGAGAGAGAGCGCGATTGGATCCATGGTCACCCAGTGAGCTTCATGGCTGAGAAGGGATTTGAATTTCCAATCTTAGTACATATCCTAATGGCAACAACCAAGCTCCCTTAAAAGATGCTCAGTCCTGAGCACAGATGAAGTTCGATGAGGGATGGGAAAGGGGTTCCATATAACTCAAATAACACAAAACTTAAAAGGCTTTCTTAATGTGTATTACGTAAATTGATGCAAAATCTGAGTTATCTCTGCGTGTGTGTGTGTGTGTGTGTGTGTGTATAGATAGATGATAGAGATAGATAGATGATTGATAGATAGATAGATAGATGATAGATAGATGATAGACAGATAGATGATAGATAGATAGTTATTTCAACCCAGTCTATATGTGTACTTAGGGTTAGACTCCACTCAGTGTGGAATTTCCCTATGTGCCTTGTTAACACTTGACTCTGCGTATTGCTAAAAAAGCCCTTAATACAACTAGTGGTCATATTAACTGTGGCCTAAGATCAGCTTTAGAAGCATTGCCATTAAGAGACTGGCAGGCACCAAAGACAGGGTCACTTCAGCCCTGGCTTATGGAATTTATTTCTAAGGGATGTGTGATTGGCCTTCTCTGTGCCAGTCTTCAAAAAGGCCTTGAGGATAAACTAAGATAGTTTCATTCATGTCACTGCTGGGTTCTAGGGCATTTATTTTAGTTTATAGGACTTTGTGGTTATTTTTATGCTAGGCTAAACATCCTTTAAGAGTCACCTAATTCGTACTTAACTGGCTTTTTGTTGTTACGATTTTGGAATTGGTTGTTTTATCTGCCATACATCTGTAAGCTTCCTAGAAATTGCATCGTCCTGTAAGGCAACTTAAAAAACCAACAAATGAACAACATAAATAAAATGGAACATAAGTCTTGTTACCTGAACGATTTGCAGGAAACTAGCATGTAACTCCTTCTGTTGTGCATGATCTAGGACAGGGGTCTGCAACCCGCGGCTCCGGAGCCGCACGTGGCTCTTTTACACCTTTGCCGCGGCTCCAGGGCGGATACTAGCGAGGGGAGGAGGCGCATTGTGCGCCCCGACACTCCCCACTGTGGCGGGCGCTGTACTGGCTGTGACGTCGCATGGGGGCGGTGCGTGCGTTAGTCACCGTCCCGACGTCACCTGCCCACCCGCCCGCTACATTGTAAGGGGCATGTACGCTGGTCACTGCATTGAAAGGGGGCATGTACGCTGGTCACTGTTTTGAAGGGGAGTGAAGAACACACACACAAAAAAAAGGTAACTTGTTAATTTAACATTTATTTCTATGAGGAGGAGTAATTCTGAGGGGTCAAACAAAGAAATAATAAAAAAGTGACAAAAATGTTATTTTTATAATGACGAGTTTTGCGGCTCCCAGTTTTTTTCCTTCGGAAACGGGTCCAAGTGGCTCTTTTTGTCTTAAAGGTTGCAGACCCCTGATCTAGGATGTCCTTCCAATCAACTGCAGTAAATACCTCCAGTATTTAGGCTTAGAATAATGCTTTTCAAGTGGGACCCAAACTGTTGAAATTAATGGCCCAAATTAATGTCACCTTCCCAGCCCTTCTTTCTTCCTCAGCAGCAGAAACACACAAATACCAACACTGAAGAAACATATGCCCTCCCCCCGCCATTCTTAATGTGAATATACCTAGGCAATAATAGAATTTAAACATGAGATACAGGAAGGGAACACAATTTAGAAGGGGAAATGTGGGAATCTGTTTCTTCAAGGGTCCTTCAATGGTGTGTTGCTGGCTTGGTAAAAGCAAGCAAGGAAGGAAGGTCCTCATTATGAGACTAACCCAGGCATGGGCAAACTTGGCCCTCCAGATGTTTTGGGACTACAGTTCCCATCATCCCTGACCACTGGTCCTGTTAGCTAGGAATGATGGGAGTTGTAGTCCCAAACAACTGGAAGGCTGGATTTGCCCATGCCTGGACTAACCCAATAATATGTCAGGACTCACCTGTAAGGAGAGACTCACACTTAGGAAAATAGGAAGCTGCCTTGTATTGTGTCAGGACAGTTGCCCATCTACCTTAATATTGTCTGCACTGACTGGCAGGGGCTCCCTGGGGTATTAGATGAGGGGCATGCCCTTTCCTACCTTAGGATGCCAGGGATTGAACCAGTAAACCATCTGCATGCAGAGCAGTTACTTGGCCACAGAGCGATGGCCCTTGCCAGTTTGTGAAGCACTTGCTTAGCATCCCCATTGGAGTGTGACTTGTGTTTAGTCGTGTCCGACTCTTTGTGACCCCATGGACCAGAGCATGCCAGGCACTTCTGCCTTCCACTGCCTCCCGCAGTTTGGTCAAACTCATGCTGGTAGCTTCGAGAACACTATCCAACCATCTCGTCCTCTGTCGTCCCCTTCTCCTTGTGCCCTCAATCTTTCCCAACATCAGGGTCTTTTCCAGGGAGTCTTCTCTCCTCATGAGGTGGCCAAAGTATTGGAGCCTCAACTTCAGGATCTGTCCTTCCAGTGAGCACTCAGGGCTGATTTCCTTCAGAATGGATATGTTTGATCTTCTTGCAGTCCACTTTTAGAAATGGTTAATGATGCTGTAGGTCTTTCTGCTTCCAGGTGCGTTTCCTTGAACAACAGAACAAAGTGCTGGAAACAAAATGGACATTGCTGCAGGAGCAGGGCCAGAAAACAATCCGAAACAACATTGAGCCCCTTTTCGAAGCTTACATCAACAATCTGAGGAAACAGCTGAGCTGCCTGGAGAGTAACAAAGGAAGACTGGCTGGAGAACTGAGCAACATGCAGAACCTAGTTGAGGACTTCAAGCACAAGTAAACCTCTCTCTCCCTCTCAGTTTGTTTTCTATGTCTTCCTTCTCTTCTACACCTCCTCCCCTTTCTGCTAAAGCCACAATTCACACAAGCAAACAGCTTAACAGCAACTTCAAATGCAACACGCACCATGTGGCAGTCTGTGCATGCACAGCATAACACCTGCCATGTGGTTTGACCACATGGTGGATTTCAACAGGCTTGGTTTACAGGCCCTTCAGGTCGTTTCTTTGCCAGTCATGGTGCAAATTGGCCCTTTGTGATCAAGAATAACCTCTTAGATACCATCAGCGCCATTCCAAACTTCTTTAAGCATTGCAGCCATCTCTTAATTGTTTTTCCTCTCTGTCTGTCCTGCCCAAACAGATATGAAGATGAGATCAACAGGCGTACAACTGCAGAAAATGAGTTTGTCACCCTCAAGAAGGTGAGTGTCTGTAGATAGCCCATGGGGAAATAGTTTTGCTGTGAGGGGTAGTAATCCTTTACTATTGTATCCCACAAACCCTGCAGACAACTAAGTTTAAAATATGTTTCTACAAAGAAAGCTGTAATCATTCACAGTTGCTAGGCCACAGTCCTTTGTTTTTAAGAGACACATGTAAGTGTGTGTGTGTTCTTGTTCACAAAATGGATATATCACTCATTATTAGTGATGTAACCGGCATTAGCCAGTAGGTGCCCGCCACAGTCATGCATCTGTACCCCACAGAGCACACTCATGGTAGTAAGTAATCAATTTAGGAGCTGGATCACCATCTCTTATGCCATAACTTTAGACTATCTAGTTCAACAATACAGTGGTACCTTGGGTTAAGTACTTAATTCGTTCTGGAGGTCCGTACTTAACCTGAAACTGTTCTTAACCTGAAGCACCACTTTAGCTAATGGGGCCTCCTGCTGCTGCCGCGCCGCCAGAGCACGATTTCTGTTCTCATCCTGAAGCAAAGTTCTTAACCTGAAGCACTATTTCTGGGTTAGCGGAGTCTGTAACCTGAAGCGAATGTAACCTGAAGCGTATGTAACCCGAGGTACCACTGTATAATCTTTTTTTCAGGATGTGGATACCGCCTACATGAACAAAGTAGAACTGGAAGCCAGGGCAGATTCCTTCAACGATGAACTCAACTTCCTCAAAGCTCTGTATGAAGCGGTAAGGATCACACCTATTCACTTTAGCTGAAGTGTTCTGTGCTGTACGGTTATTAAACGAGGACTGCCAAAGAGGCCATCTAGCCATCTGCCTTGCTATTCAGCTAGAAAAAGAGCCTCGTTTCAGAACCTCCCATGGATAATAAGGACAAAATGAAGGTTTATCCATGGGCTTTTGTTGTCTCTCAACTAGAGCTGCCATCCATTTTGCCTAAAGTGTAATTTTGAAGCAAAGTCTAAAGATTCTGGTTGGGTGAAAAACAACTTTGAAAGAAAGCAATTTCAAAGGAAGCAAAAGAGAGAGAAAGGGAATACTAGCAAAGTTTATCAGAAGGAATGAGATTTACCTTTACATCCATAACTTGCTATTAGGCTTCAACTGCTAAGGTAAAAAATAAAATAAACACCTGATGGTATTTTTCTGGAAAATTACAAATTTAAAAAATAAATAAATGAGAGTGAATTTCTTCAAGGGATCCTGAGCACCCCTCTTTCCAACATATTTATATGCTAGAGATAAAATTATTACTCCTGTGAAAGGGCAAAAAATGTTGGAAGGGACTATAAGATCACACCTTTAGCCCCCCCCCCCAATGATATGAGGGTTTGTCCTCCCAGCCCTGCCTCAACATTACTCACACATTGAGGGAAGATCTGAAGGGGGGATGTCTGAAAACACACAGGGAGTCCCCATGAGCCAGAACTTGGAGTGCACAGAGTTCCAGCTCACAGGAACAGCCTGTGTGCAGCTCCCGCACTTCAGAGCTGGATCACATTGGGATCTAGGAGATTCAATGACAGGGAAGCACACTCAGCCCCACTATTAATCATGCAGAACACAGAACACCTGAACCCAGAGGTGTGTTGTGCTCATGGTGCTTCACTACTTGGCAAGAAATGTATGCTGATGTTACGATCCTTTGTGAATTCCATGAGAAACTAATCTTCTTCCCAGCATACCATAGCCCTAGTCTGCCCTGCTAAGTTTGAATGGGTAATGGAATTTCAAAGGAACAGAGAGAGCTAAGTTGAAAGTCCAGGAATTATAGGGTGGGGTTTGAGTGTCCTGTACAGCGCCTTCTTTTAATTGCCTATGAATAATCATGGCTCCTATCCCTGCAATTCATGTGTGTTCTATCTTATGTTTTAAAAACCTATTTTCATTTTTAAAAAGAAAAAGAAAGCAGGTATTTTGGAAGCAGAATGAGTTACGTGTATGCAAGTTTGCTTGCTTGCGTAACTCCTTACAGCTGAAGGATTCGCTTGGAGCACAGTTTGGGCTGGGAATTTGCAGAGGATGCAGAATTCAGTATTATATGGCTTTGATTGAGATGTTGCTGCCTCAACTACAGGAACTTGCACAGATGCAGACACAAGTCTCTGACACTTCCGTGATTCTTTCAATGGACAACAACCGCAGCCTGGATCTCGACAGCATCATTGCTGAAGTCAAAGCTCAGTATGAAGACATTGCAAACAAGAGCAGGGTGGAGGCTGAATCCTGGTACCAAAGCAAGGTAAAACATCATAAAGGAGCTAGAGAAGGGTGGCTTTCCTGATGGTTCGTGGCTTAGAAAATAAGCCAAGTTGCTTCTTCCCCTTATTTCTGAAATGACTAGGCTTATTTTCAAAAGCCACCGAAAAATTGCTTCTGAACCACCCCTTCTTCCTCACTAGTCTCCCAAACTCTTCCCTTTCCTTTAAACTAGATTTACTTGGCCAGGGAACCAACAGCATACTCAGGTCTTAGGGAAGGAGGGAGAGCTGATCTCTCCCTCCCTACTTCAGTGTGCTGGTAGAATGCCAGAAGAAAGGCCACCATGACCCATGGAAATGTATTTTACCCAATGAGTATTGCAGTAATAACATATCTAGCATATACTCATGCACCGGGCTTTTTTGTGACAGTACTCACCATTACAAGGTACCAACACCACTTCTTTGCTGCCCATCGCAGCCATTTTATGCTGGTAAAGGTAAAGGACCCCTGACAGTTAAGTCCAGTTGCGAACGACTCTGGGGTTGCGGCGCTCATCTCGCTTTACTGGGAGAGGGAGCCGACGTTTGTCCGCAGACAGTTTTTCCACGTCATGTGGCCAGCATGACTAAGTGAACCAGAGCAGCATACAGAAATGCCGTTTACCTTCCCGCTGGAGCGGTACCTATTTATCTACTTGCACTTTGACGTGCTTTTGAACTGCTAGGTGGGCAGGAGGAGGGACCGAGCAACGGGAGCTCACCCCGTCGCAGGGATTCGAACTGCTGACCTTCCGATCGGCAAGCCCTAGGCTCTGTGGTTTAGACCACAGCATCACCCAAGATTTTATGCTGGTACTCAGAGCGTTTTGATCAATATTTGAGTACCAGCACCTGATTTTTTAAAAATAAAAAAAGCACCCCATATGTATAGAAAATAAGAATGGTTGCTCCAAATGGAATTAACCTAATGTTGCTGTGTTTGCTTTCTGCCTATATTAGTATGAGGAACTCCAGGCTACTGCCGGAAGACACGGTGATGACCTTCGCAACACCAAGCATGAGATTTCTGAACTCACCCGACAAATCCAGAGGCTGCGCGCTGAAATTGACAATGTGAAGAAGCAGGTATGGTCTTGCTGGAAAATACGAAATGTGAAAATGTGTTTAGAATTCTTTAAAGGAGAACCTTAAATGTGTTGGGGGTTCTTCCTCCAAGGGATACGAGAGAGAATTTCCATAGGAGAACTTTGGTCCAATACATACCTTTTTATCTAGGCTTTCCATGACTCATAAGATTGGGTCTTTTTAACTCAATCCCTGTATTTATCTGCTTTTATAATACAATTTTACATTGTGTTTTATCTCTGTTTTTATAATACTGTTTTGTAATTTTTATGTTATATTTTTGCATATCGCTTGGAGATTTTTAAATATTAAGTGGTGTAGGTATGTGTTTAAGTAAATAAATAAAATAGAGGCAGGAGAGTTGCTCAATAGCATCTCATGAGCCAACAGTGTGACGCGGCAGCTAAAAAAGCCAATGCAATTCTGGGCTGCATCAATAGGAGTATAGCATCTAGATCAAGGGAAGTAATAGTGCCACTGTATTCTGCTCTGGTCAGACCTCACCTGGAGTACTGTGTCCAGTTCTGGGCACCACAGTTCAAGAAGGACACTGACAAACTGGAACGTGTCCAGAGGAGGGCAACCAAAATGGTCAAAGGCCTGGAAACGATGCCTTATGAGGAACGGCTAAGGGAGCTGGGCATGTTTAGCCTGGAGAAGAGGAGGTTAAGGGGTGATATGATAGCCATGTTCAAATATATAAAAGGATGTCACATAGAGGAGGGAGAAAGGTTGTTTTCTGCTGCTCCAGAGAAGCGGACACGGAGCAATGGATCCAAACTACAAGAAAGAAGATTCCACCTAAACATTAGGAAGAACTTCCTGACAGTAAGAGCTGTTTGACAGTGGAATTTGCTGCCAAGGAGTGTGGTGGAGTCTCCTTCTTTGGAGGTCTTTAAGCAGAGGCTTGACAACCATATGTCAGGAGTGCTCTGATGGTGTTTCCTGCTTGGCAGGGGGTTGGACTCGATGGCCCTTGTGGTCTCTTCCAACTCTATGATTCTATGATTCTATGATTCATAGTCATGCAAAGTGGCTGATTATTTATTAAGTGCAGTCGGTATCAATGGTGGTTTATGGAATAACATAAGGAAGCAATAGGTCTTTCTTGCTCCAAGGAGCTTGCGTGCCAAGGCCACATGCCCTGGAGTTCCCCATTGAGTACTAAACACAGCACAAGTATTTAGGATTATGGGCTAAAACAGGTCACAACTTTATTGGTTACAGATGTGAGCAGTTTGGCTTAGGCATTGGGTGATACCAGGCTATATATTGACTCCCGCCCAACTGCAGGGAGTCAAACAAAGGGTAAACCACCAGAAGGGGGAGCCCTATGACTTACATCAAATAGGTGCACCCCAAGGGGTTCTCCCTGGGGTCATGGCATGGTCCTAGCTCACACCTGGGCTTTGGACAGGATCCACACACCCGGATCCCTTTAATAGGATACCCTTATCAAGGAGGGACAGGCGGAGGCTCCAAGCTCCCCTCCCTTAAACAAAGGCTTACCCAATGCCTAACCGCCACTCGAGCCCAAATGGCTCGCCACCAACACCCTCACACCTGCAACCAACATCTCAGAATAAGGTCATGCAAAATGGCTGATTATTTATATACTGCAGTCGGTATCAATGGTGGTTTATGGAGTAACATAAGGAAACAATAGGTCTGTCTTGCTCCAAGGAGCTTACCATTTAAGCTAACCAGTCTTTTCTCTCCCTACCTGCAAACAGTGTGCCAATCTTCAGGCAGCCATTGCGGAAGCAGAAGAGCGAGGCGAGCTGGCTCTCAAGGATGCAAGGCAAAAGCTTGCTGAGCTTGAGGATGCTCTTCAGAGAGCCAAGCAAGACATGGCCAGGCAGCTGAAGGACTACCAGGAACTGATGAGTGTCAAGCTAGCCCTAGATATTGAGATTGCCACCTACAGAAAGCTTCTGGAAGGAGAGGAATGCCGGTCAGTGAGATACAATCTTTGCAACCTTGTACACATCCCATCCTTTCTCCAATGTTGATAAATCTAAGATGAGATATCCAATGTGGGGCATTCCAGATGCTGCTGGACTCCAGCTCCCATCAAGCCTGACCATCTGCCATGTAGGCAGGGACTAATGGGAATTGGACAACATCGGAAGGGCACCACGCTGGCTACCTCTGCTAATGATCATTGCGTACAGAAGGGAGAGGTGATAGCTCGTCATCTAAACCTGGGCTTCCCAAACTTGAGTCTCCAGCTGTTTTTGGAATACAGTTCCCCTCATCCTTGACCACTGGTCCTGCTAGCTAGGGATTGTGGGAGTGTAGTCCAAAAACAGCTGGAGACCTGAGTTTGGGAAACCCTGATCTAGACCAAGCATGGGGGGCCTTAGGCCATCCAGATGTTGCTAAACTACAGCTCCCATCATTCCTTCTCATTGGCCATGCTCATTGACTGATGGGGGTGTGGTAGAAGTTCAGCAACATCTGGAGGGCCAAGGGCTCCCTACACGTGGTCTCAGTGAAGAACTACCACCTCTGTCAGAACACAGAGCGGATAGTTGTTCCCTAGTGCAAATTGCAATTCCCACTTCAGGTCTACCATGATATCATTCTGGCTGTGACGTAATTAAAGGTTATTAAATATATCCTCCTTGAGTAATCTTAAGTGCCTGTCTGTCTTGGAGACCAAATGAGGGATAACTTGTCCTCAGTCAACAATAAAGTATTGTCTGGTGTGCTGCTTCAGTGGTTTTCCCATGCACAGCTACCAAAGTCACATGGAACAGTCAGGCTTCTCAATTTTACTGTCTGGTGGGAATATCATAGAACAGTAGTTTTCAACCAGTGTGCCTTGGCACCCTGGGGTGCCTTGAATGATGATCAGGGGTGTCATGGGCAACACTGGCCTCTGTCCCTCTTTCCTCCTTTTCTTATGTGTACAAACACAGATATCAGTCCGCTATTGATTGCACCCCATATGAAATGCTTTACAAAAAGAAGCCATATGTAAAACATTTCAAAATTTTTGGTTCAGAGGTATGGGTGCACACTTTGCAGAACAACAAATTGAGCAAACGTGGTGAACATGGTATTTTTCTGGGCTATGAAAAAGGTTCCTATCATGTGTTAATCACTGACACAAAGGCGATTAGGCTGACCAGAAGTATGGATTGTAATCCAAAATGGGACAGAGTTGGTCTTTTTCAATGTCATCCCATTTCAGATGGTGATGGTGCAAAAGCAGTTAAGAAAGACGCAGATTCTGTTGTTGCTGATGATAATGCTGATGCCAACATAGATTCTGATGATGACACAGATTATCCAAGTCCAAAAGCCTCTCTTAAACAATCAGATGAGTCTGACACTGATTCAGACACAGCACCTTCATTTACATTAGGTCGTCATTCTCCCATCTCTGCCTCCAAAAGTCTTGTGCAGCTGTTTGTTGCAGCGCCCTGGCTACAAGCTCCCCAGGCGAATGGTGCTTCTGGGACTGGCCAGGGGGTGCTGGTTGCCAGGAGCTGAGGCGGCCTCGGAGTAAGCAAGCAAGCGGGCGAGGGAGCCCAGCCAACCAGTCTGCCAGCCCTTGCTGTTGGGAATGGATGGACAAATGGGAGGCTGTGCTGGCCTTGGTTGTGCTTCCTGTGTGCAATGCCTGCCTGGGAGCTGGGTGGCTGGCAGCAAAGGGAAGCCTCTCTGCCATGCAGGCCTGGCTGTGCCTGCTGCCGCTTCCTCCCAGTGTAAGAAAGGTGCTGGCCTCATGTTCACTGCTAAGGCTGGGGGCAGCCTCTTCCCAGGTCCCTGTGGGGCAGCAGGAGAAGGCACTTCTCTTTGGGGCAGCAGCTCAGAGACCAGGGGTGCTGGCAGCTGCTTCTTGGGGAGAAGGGGAGAGGGGAGAGGAGGCTAAGGGAACACTCCACAAGGGAGGATGTTAGAAACGGATTAGGGGCTGCATGCAAGGGGTGACATAACTGAGCTGCTGAGGCTCTGAGTGTGTTTCTCCACAGAATGTAGTTGCTCAAGGGAGCTGTGGACTCAAAAAGGCTGAAAAATGGTTGTGGAAGACCAGAGGAAGTTGTGCACACTGCTTTACATGCCACCTAAGGGGGCTTGCAGGGACGCGGGTGGCGCTGTGGGTTAAACCACAGAGCCTAGGACTTGCCGATCAGTAGGTCAGCAGTTCAAATCCCTGCGGCGGGGTGAGCTCCCGTTGCTCGGTCCCTGCTCCTGCCAACCTAGCAGTTCGAAAGCACATCAAAGTGCAAGTAGATAAATAGGTACCGCTCTGGAGGGAAGGTAAACAGCGTTTCTGTGCGCTGCTCTGGTTCGCCAGAAGCGGCTTAGTCATGCTGGCCACATGACCCGGAGGCTTTACGCCAGCTCCCTCGGCCAATAAAGTGAGATGAGTGCCGCAACCCCAGAGTCAGCCACAACTGGACCTAATGGTCAGGGGTCCCTTTACCTTTACCTTTAAGGGGGCTTGCAGATTTCATCACAATGAACTGCCAATTCTGCTTCTTTTCAAACTTGCTCCAGTCGTTCCGTCTGGGCTTGAATCCTTACCACCCTCTTTTTGTTTTCTGACAGCCTGGCTAGTGATGGAGCAGGAACAGTGAACATCTGTAAGTATCCTGGGGAAATGTTTATAGCTTTGCACGTTGGGGAAAGGATGAAATAAATGATGCCTTGTTTCAGTTCACATTTGGAGGGCTGCACATAATGCTTCCACTCACCCATCTCGCCATACCACCTCTGTGCCCACATTTGTACACTGTAAAGCCCTGAATAGCTATGCCTATCCAGTTGCACAGTTGCTGTTCTGATGCAACATCTTGGGTTTTCTCTGCTGGTGCAATGCTGCAGCTCTCAAAGCTGCTTAGCTTTAACGGGTTGTTCCCAAACGTTGCATACAACTCAGTGTTTTTTGCCCTATTCATTTTGTGCATCTGGAAGTTAGCCGTTCATAGGGATAGATAAGAAACTCAATTCATTTAATATTTAAAGGTGAAGCTACCTAATTCACACTTTATGAACAATTCTCAAAGCAAAACAGTCACCTTTCAAAATCTGTACTTTTCCTACTTTTGCAATGCAGTTCTCCAGCCAAGTAACATGTGCAGAAATGCATCTTGTGTAAATAGGCTTTGCAAAAAATGTCAGTATTAGGCAAACTTGCATGCAAAAGTGGAGAAATGCTGGTGCATTTTCACTAGCACTTTTTTTTTTAATGCAAACTGATGTGGAAATGTGGAGTAGTGAATTAAAAAATTGGAAGAATGAGAAAATGAGAGAGCCAGAACAGACAGATTTGCCCATTCCTACTCATTCATTCAACCCAGACACAGACAGACTGATGTGCTCTTCATGAGTCTTGATGACGTGTCCTTTCCCTTTCATAGCTGTTGTCTCTTCAACCATCGGACGTAGCGGTGTGGCCGCTGTTGGCAGTGGTCTTGGCTATGGAGGCGGATGCAACGTTGGCTATGGAGGCGGAAGCAGCCTCAGCATGGGAGGAGGTAGCAGTTTTGGAGTAGGAGGAGGCTGTGTGGGCCTTGGGAGTGGACTTGGTGCTGGAGGAAGCAGCTTCAGCTCTGGGAGTGGAAGAGGCGTCGGAGGAGTGAGTCTCGGAGGCGGCGGCAGCAGCTCTAGCGTGAAATTTATTTCCTCTTCTAAAAAATCCTACAGATGCTAAAGCTCAAACTTCCTTGTAGTCTTTGAAAACAAAAATGTAACTCGTGAACCCTGTCTCACCTAGGCCTCCCTCTAGACAGTACACACTTTTATTGTGAGTGGCTTGTTCAATACCATCCCTTTGTTTGTTCACATTTGGGGGGAAATGTAAAACTCTACTTTTCAGATGATCTGTGTTGTAATGGGCTCTCTGACACCGACAGAGTTTGCACCAATTTTTAATCTTGCTTCACCTCTCCACTTCATTGTCAATCCTTTCAAATCAGAATTCTAAAGTTTCAAATTTTGTATAAACCAGATCACCGTTTGTTGGTTCTTGCTTTAATTCTTTGATGCCTGACTTCACTTTTTTGGGTTTGTGTGTGTGTTATTGTGTTCAATAAAATGCATATTGTAATTTATAACATTTTCTAGTCCTTTTGAATATACGCCAGTTATCTCTAGTAACTTGAGCACTTGCACAGCAGGTTGACAGTTTCTGAAGTGCTTTCCATCTCACTATTCTGGACAAGAGTTCTGGGAAAGAGGTCAGTATTAGAGATGTTGCAGGTGTTGGTGTATGGGGGGAGGGAAGGGGTTAAGGTTGAGGCAAAAGTGGCTTGCCTAAGACTATCTGTTGGATGAGTTTATAAAAAAAATTAACTAGGTGCTTCCTAGAATGAACGCAATTTTCATTCTGACCTGTGTTCATCACAATCAGCAGTTTCTGGCCCAGTGCAGTTAAACTCCCACTAAATGCTACATTGTCACTGTCATCTATTGAATGTAAGTCATGTAATTTACTCCAGTGTAAGTGTCAAAAACAACATTAAAAAGTCTATGTATCATTTGCGGGTAGAAAAAGGATGTGAACGAATACCAATCGTATTCACTTTTCTTTTCCTGACCACAAATACACGAACCGCAACAATTTCCACTTTCTTTCCTATTTTTGTTGGAGTTCTGACAACCCTATTTTTTAGCTCCTCTTGGCTGCTAAGCCAGCCTTCTGCAACATGGTGCCCTCCATATGCTGTTGGACAACATCTCGCATCATTCCTGACTATTGGCCATGCAGGCTGCGGTTGATAGGAGTTATAGTCTACTCTAAAACATCTGGAGGTCACAGAATTGGTGAAGGCTAGGCTAACCACCCCTATAATAAAATAGATCAGGAGGGCTATCACATTTCAACCCAAATCTTATAGATTTACAGCTGGACTATCATATGGAGCAAAATGATTGAGGCAGCAGAAGGCTTGTTCACAATGCCACATAGATTATTTTCCTTAAAATTAATTCATCATTAAATTAAATTCTTGAATACAAGTTGGCCAACAGATTGTTATAAACTAGGGTTGTATCCAAACTAAGTTGTTCCATTCTCACAAGGACTTCTACCTGCACAAGACATCCCCTCTGTCTCCTCTCCTCATGAACCCCATAAATCTGCTCTAGAAGGTTGGGGGGGGGGACTCCAGATTTGAGTTTTCTATATGTACCGTATTTTTCGCTCTATAACACGCACCTGACCATAACACGCACGTAGTTTTTAGAGGAGGAAAACAAGAAAAAAAATATTCTAAACGAAACAGTGGATGTATGATTTTTGTGGTTCATGCTGTGGCCACAGACATGTGATCTGATGGTGAATTTGGGGTGACCCAGTGCAAAAATCCTGAGGATCCATGTGGATCCGTGCTTTGTAACCACGTTTTAAGTGGGGAGGGAAGGAAAAGCACTCAAGGGACAAGGAGCACGCGTGGGGTGGGTGGAGAAGGATGCTGCTAATAATGCAGGAGAGGGGTTTAAGGGGAGAAGGAGCACGCGTGGGGTGGGTGGAGAAGGATGCTGCTAATAATGAAGAGGGGTATAAGGGGAGAAGGCTCCTCTCCTCTCCCACTTTGCTCCTTTAAAGCAAGCAGGCTCTGCTTTTCTCCCTCCTCCCTGCTCATCCCCGGCTTAGCGAGCTGAAAAACTTTGCTGCTATGTAGCGAGCTGAGTGGGGAGGAGAGAGGGACAGAGAGCCTGCTTGCTTTAAAGGAACCAACCAGACAGGAGCCACTTACACTCCTCTCCCGCTTTGCTCCTTTAAAGAAGCAGGCTCTCTGTCCCTCTCTCCTCCCCACTCAGCGGCTCTTCTCCCGCTTTGCTGTTTCAAAGCGAGCCTCGGAGGAGGGAAGGAAGGGGAACCATGGATCCTCTGCTCACGACTGCAGCAGATCCCCACCGCCACCCGTAGGCATTCCCTCCATAACACGCACATACATTTCCCCTTACTTTCTAGGAGGAAAAAAGTGAGTGTTATGGTGCAAAAAATACGGTAATTTTAAGAATCCTTTTCCCAGCTAGCAGCAGAAAGATGGCAGAGAAGCCATACTGTGTAACCACCTATGTGCCCTTAAGTTATACTACGAATATGAGGGTCCCTGAAAGGGTACAAGCTCCCCCCCTCCATTTCTTCCCCCCCCCTCAACATTATTCCTAATGAAATTGAACCCTGTTGCTGTAGAGCTTGAGACCACTAAGGATTCTTCTCACCCATCTACGCTAGGTTCCTGTGTGCAGAACAGCCTGCTCCAGGTTAGGGCAAATCATTAGTCAGAGGCTAGAACTCACAAGTACTAAGCCACAGGTAGGGAGCCTGTAGGCCCTCCAGCTGCTGGTGGACTCCAACTCCCATCAGCCCCAGCTAGTGAGGGGTAGTCAGCCAATGATCAAAGATGCTGGGTGCTGCAGTCCAGCATCATCTAATGGGCCACCAGTTCCCCCACCAGTGCATTGGCTGTCAAGCGTAGTTGTTCGCCATCCTGAGTAGGCACTGCTCAGCTACAGAAGACACATGCAAGGCAACTCTGTATGTCTCAGCTCCACAGGGCATTGCTAAGAGGCTTCCAACATCCTTTGCCTTCTGCATCCCCACTCAACCCATAGAAATGAAATGAGACCACCATTTTCTTTGTGAAGCCAACATCACATAAGCCAGCCATGCCCAACTTGAAGTTGACTGTGATCCATGGTCCAAAATAAAAACTGGCAGTGATCTAGCACCCAGGGATGGGTGCAGGGTAGGTGGGCAGGCGCTGGCTGCTTCCCAAGGGGGTGACAGGGATGGTTGCAAGTTGGGTGCGCGGGGCCGCTTCCCCGACGCTGCTTCCTCCGACGGGGAAGGGCTGGGTGCAGGGTGGGCGAGCACCTATGGGGCAGGGATGGGCATGCGTGCAGTGTCAAACCAGTCCCTCCTGCAAGATGAGCTCTGGAGGCGTCGGTGGCTGCTCAGGCACATCTCTAGTGGAAGGCGGGTGGCGATCGACCAGAATTCATACCAGGAGCTACTGGTTGAGTACAGTCGACATTTTGTACATCTGACATAAGCCAATGAAAAAGCCATGGAGGTGCTGGATAATTCTGTGTCCAGGGCAGCTGTCTACAAGTTCCATCTGGTATGCTAGCTGAAACCCTACCTGCCTGCACACTGTCTCACCAGAGGGGGTTATCTCCCACTTGGGACTACTACAATGCGCTCTACGTGGGGCTACCTTTGAAGGTGACTTGGAAACTACAACTAATCCAGAATGTGGCAGCTAGACTGGTGGCTGGAAGTGGCTGTTGGGACCATATAACACCAGTCTTGAAAGACCTACATTGGCTCCCATTATGTTTTCGAGCACAATTCAAAGTGTTGGTGCTGACCTTTAAAGCCCTAAACGGCCTCGGCCCAGTATACCTGAAGGAGCGTCTCCACCCCCATCATTCAGCCCAGACACTGAGGTCCAGCTCCGGGGGCCTTCTGGCGGTTCCCTCACTGTAAGAATTAAAATCACAGGGAACCAGGCAGAGGGCCTTCTCGGCAGTGGCACCCTCCCTGTGAAATGCCCTCCCATCAGGTGTCAAGGAGATGAATAACTATATAACCTTTAGAAGATATCTGAAGGCAGCCCTGTATAGGGAAGCTTTTTAATATGTAATGTTTTACTATGTTTTTAAGTATGTTGGAAGCCTCCCAGAGTGGCTGGAGCAACCCAGTCAGACGGGCTGGGTACCAATAATAAAATTATTATTACTACTGCTGTAAAACATTTTGTTGCTAACAGACTTTGCTGTCAATATAGGGAAGCTATGGGCCTCCAGATGTTGGGCTCCAACTTCCATCAGCCCCAAGCAGCATGGCCAATGGTCAGGGATGATGGGAGTTGTAGTCCAAAAACATCTGGAGGCTCATAATTTCCCCAGCTGGGCTGTAAGAGTTCATCTATTGGAGCTCGCCACATAATGTAGGTACCACAACTTCCTGGCAGGGAGCATGATGCTGATTCTTTATATGAAGCGTTTCCCACTTATGGATCTGAAAAGAGCAATGTGATAGAAGCAGTTGCCGTTTTTAATCACATTTTACAAAGTATACGTAATTTACAAAGATAAATAAATCTTAGAAAACTTTAACTTTCCTTCGTTGTACTGTCTGTTCACAAAATAAAAAAATCACTTTCCCCCTATACTGCTGTGGCAACCCAAAAATAAAAATGGTCTTGAGCTGTGAATAGATGTCTAGGCTAAACATGGCAGTTTTTTTATTTATTCTATGGCTACATGCCACTAACTGCTCCGTTTGAAACAATGCCAACAAAAGCCCTAGAATAAATGGCATAGGTTCGCAACAAGATTGCTATTCAATTCAAATACCTTGAGACACTGGACTTTTCACATATTCCCAGATAAAAACTGTCACATCTTTGACATGGCACAGTTGATGCCAAACTTCTTGTTAAGCAAAGTAACTGAGTACCAGCAAAACCATTCACAGATGTAAACAATGGTGTTTCAAAACTCAAAACAAAATAGAGCAGCTCCCTGCTTGCCAGTTATTGGTATTTCGTTTAAGAATCTAGACAGAACAAGGTGAAAAAAATAGGTAGGAAGACAGAGTAATAATGTCTGCTTAGTGTCTTTGATTAATCTCCTGCCCATCTTCTGCCAACTCCTCCATTTCCAAATCTGCCAGCTCAGGTAGGTGCTGTATTTTTGAGCAATGCCTGCATTTTCCATTTTCTCCGCTCAAGAGCTTCTTGCTTCTTCCTTGCAATTTCTTCCTGAGAACACTTTCTGCTTTTCTGTTCTGCAAAAGTAGACATGCATTAAAGGTAAAGGTAAAGGTAAAGGTACCCCTGCCCGTACGGGCCAGTCTTGCCAGACTCTAGGGTTGTGCGCTCATCTCACTCTATAGGCCGGGAGCCAGCACTGTCCGCAGACACTTCCGGGTCACGTGGCCAGCGTGACAAGCTGCATCTGGCGAGCCAGCGCAGCACACGGAACGCTGTTTACCTTCCCGCTGGTAAGCGGTCCCTATTTATCTACTTGCACCCGGGGGTGCTTTCGAACTGCTAGGTTGGCAGGCGCTGGGACTGAACGACGGGAGCGCACCCCGCCGCGGGGATTCGAACCACCGACCATGCGATCGGCAAGTCCTAGGCGCTGAGGTTTTACCCACAGCACCACCCGCGTCCCTTCAGACATGCATTAGTAACTGAATTATTAAGCGTCATGATCTGAAGGTAATAAGGTTTGTCTTTCAATGCATTAATGCAACAAATACAAAACCCGCTGCGTCGATGTCCATCGAGCAAAGTGAAGGTTGATGGTTCTAATACATTTGTAAGTCAGCTCTTCAATTAGATCATAAATCATAGAAACAGAGTTGGAAGGGACCATGAGGATCATCTAGTCCAACCCCTGCAATGCAGGAATCTTTCGCGCAATGTGGGGCTCAAAACCATGACCCTGATATTAATTCTCATGCTCTTCCAATTGAATGATTAGGAATCAAAATCCAAGGTACTGTCCCATACCCAAAAAGGGAATAGTGAAAATTGGGAAGAGAAACTTTTCTGGGTTTTACCAAAGTATGGATCACGTATAATGTGAGTTTTAAATAAATATGATAACAAAGGTTGATGGGGGAGAAGACATAACCGGAAGTTGCAAGACTGGGACACGATAACCTAGCAAAACATTTATCTGCATCAGTAACCCACAATAGTACAAAAATTCCTTCCAGTAGCGCCTTAGAGCCTTATAGATAGTGAGAGGGTGGGGAGGGGTATTATTCAGAAGGGTGATGGCAATGGGTGATTGGCTGATAGGCGTGGTAAACCTGTTGACGTAAACCTGCCCTCTCACTATATACAGTGGTACCTCGGGTTAAGTACTTAATTCATTCTGGAGGTCCGTTCTTAACCTAAAACTGTTCTTAACCTGAAGCACCACTTTAGCTAATGGGGCCTCCCGCTGCCACTGCGCCGCCGGAGCCCAATTTCTGTTCTTATCCTGAAGGAAAGTTCTTAACCTGAAGCACTATTTCTGGGTTAGCGGAGTGTGTAACCTGAAGCGTATGTAACCCGAGGTACCACTGTATAAGGGTCTGGTGACTTCTGTTTCAGTGTATCTGAAGAAGTGTGCATGCACACGAAAGCTCATCCCAATAACAAACTTAGTTGGTCTCTAAGGTGCTACTGGAAAGATTTTTTTTTAATTTTGTTTCGACTATGGCAGACCAACACGGCTACCTACCTGTAACCACAATAGTACATTAAGCCTGTTGCATTATTCTAAATTTTGTTCCCTGCGCGCTGCTAGGCCTTTAATGTCTAACAGACAAGGTAGTTTTATCTGTCTGCTAGTTTGTAACACACCAATGAGGGAGAGACTTAACAATCTCAGCTTTCATTTTCAAAGAAAAGAAAGTTAGATTAAAATCTTATGCTCCACCGATTGAGCTAAGTGACATGGGTTTGAGTCACACGTTGGGTGAAAGATTCCTGCATTGCAGGGGGTTGGACTAGATGACCCTTGTGGTCCCTTCCAACTCTATAATTCTATGGTAAGTTTCTAACCCACGTGGTTACTAAAATGTGTTTCAAAACAGGAAGTGACTGAAAAAAGGCCTCCATTTCCAGAAGGTGAGGCTTCTGTGCCTAAAAGCTACTACAGTGTGGCTTCCTCAGCAAACATGCAGATCAAGATCTATGCAAACAAGCAGTTTTTGCACAATTTCTCATCTATGCAATTGCACAAAAACTAATCCAAAGTGCTTATGTCTAGGAGTGTCTAATCCAGGTTCAGGAACTAAAATGGGCCTTAAACAGGAGCTCAAGGGCAAAAGCCCTGCTAGTCTACCTCTCTCTCGATGGCTCGCATCTTCCTCTTCTAGAACAATGTTTGTTATTAAAATAATGTGAATTTGTCAAATAATGTTATTATTTTTAAAGCCACCATTTACATGTTACAAAAACATTTCTGGTGACATTTCTTCTAAATATTTTAATTGATAGCGATTAACAAATACTACAAAAAGAGAGAGTGCACTATACTCATAAGTATTCCACCGCTGGGCAATACTACTGTTATGCTACAACATTACCTAAAACAGCATGAAGTACTGCAGAATGCAAAAAACTCCCAAGGGCAGATGAAAAATCTCCACAGACTCAGTGTTCAATAAAAGAAAATTTAGTCCTCAACCTTCCCCTTAATACAGTTCCCTGCTTATTTTATTGCTTTCCATCCTACCATTTTCTAAGAACTCTCCATTCTAACAAACTGCATTCACACAAAATACTAAGCCATGGTTTACTGAACAAACCAGGATCGGTGTTGCAAGTCCAGCAACGTAACCATGGCGTATTTCACCAAATATTGATTTGATTATTTAACTGCTCTTGCCTTGCATTTCTATAGCTGGGGAAATATCTACGGTATGGCTCTAAAACAACACAGGATTAAGTCAGGAGAGCAGGTCTGGATCTATTGAGAAGCCAACTTAATCTACTGCTTCATATTCTGATCTGTCATCTAGAAATACAGTGGTGCCCCGCAAGACGAATGCCTGGCAAGACGAAAAACCCGCTAGACGAAAGGGTTTTCCGTTTTTCGATGCGCTTCGCAGGACGAATTTCCCTATGGGCTTGTTTTGCAAGACGAAAATGTCTTGCGAGTCTTGAGATTTTTTTCGCTTTCCCCCCCTTTTTCTAAGCCGCTAAGTCGCTAATAGCCTTTTAGCCGCTAAGCCGCTAAGCCTTTAATAGCCGCTAAACCGCTAATAGCGCTAATCCGCTAAGCCGCTAATAGGGTTGATTCGCAAGACGAAAAAACCGCTAGACGAAGAGACTCGCGGAACGGATTAATTTCGTCTTGCGAGGCACCACTGTAAACCATGGTTAAGTTGCCGGGGGTAGGTTTGAATATACAAACAAACCATAGTTGGCTCAATGTTTCGTGTGAACCAAGCCACTGAGCTTCAAAAAAACAAGGAATTTCAGAAATCTTACGTCCCTTTGATGGATATCACGTGTCGACATGTGAGCAAGGGAATAAGGAAATAATTTTGAGATCTTGTTTTTCAGGACTGCCTAAAAAGACATCAGCTGACCCTGAAAACCTTTCCAGTCATTTATGCTTAAAATGAAGTCTAAATTAACAGTCAGCTTGCTATTCTGAAAACCTACCTGTTTCAGACTGGGAGAAACACTCAGAGAGGTGCCTCTTAAAGACTGGCTTTGTGTTCAGGTTCTTCACTGTCTGCAGCACGACGTTTGGTGGGTTCTTGCTTTCCCCCAATGCTACATTTGTTCTTGAAAGGTTGCCTGCATTTACATTTTTATGGTCCATTCCTAGGTCTTGGGAACTATAGCTCTTCCTGAACGCACACTTTGATTTCTCAGCTGGCACTTGATTAATACTGCCACTATTTTGTACTTTGCTTACATGGCACAGGTCCTTCTGCCACCGTATATTATTAACACTCAGACACATATTTGAGAGAGTAGTTGAGTCAGTTACAGAAGTGAAACAGTCTCCAGGCACTGAACTTGACCTATTGAGTTTCCCTGGAACACTGTTTATGCTGTCCGTGTTACACTGTGCCCATCTGTGCTTGTCAGAAGTATTCGAGCAGCTCTCGTTCATACGTAGTGTTGTAGCTGTAGCAGGAGCATGGAACGAGAAGGTTTTCCTACCCATACGGCTCTTTTGAGGCTGTGGGACGTTAGAAAGTTCTTGCGTGGGTCCTGAGAGGCAAGAACCAACCTCTAACTTGGAAGCATTTCCTATCACCAATTTAGCTTTTTCGTTCTCTTTCACCGCAACTTGGCTCAGACTAGTTTTTTCTACATCCCCACAGACTTGATAAAGCAAGTCGTCATCATCAGCATCATCACAGCTTGTGCCCCAAAGACTATCGGAATCACAAAACAATTCTAAAACTTGATCCGAGAACCTAGGCTCGTTCCAATCATCAAATGAAAACACATTCCTCTTCGTCACTTCCATCTGCTTTAGATGACCTGTGCTGACTTGCTTAGCCACTTTCCTTAGGTCGTGAGGCCTTGTATTGGCAGAAACCGTAGATGACTGATGGCATATACTGTGCATACCACTTCTGTATTTTTCAGTCCGTAATGCAGGGGCATCAGAATGTACTGAAAAAGCAGCTTTTTTTTCAGAAGAACTGGTGCCAGTGGCAGGTTTTAGTTGAGTAAAGCCTTCCCATATCCTCTCCTTTTCAGGTTTCACTGAAGCAGAAATTTTGTTTTGACTTTTAGAAACAGAGTTTAGTTTATTGGGTTTTAAATTACATTCGTCATATAGGACACCCTTTGTCTTTCCTATCTTAACACTTTGCTTTTCCACAGCATGTGATGCTGGAACACTGTTAGAGGAATTTAAAACTGCACAATGGGCACCGTAAGGTTTCTCAGAATCTATAGTTCCTTCCTTTGTTTCACTGGTTTTGTTAGAAGTATGAGCTAAAGTATTTTGTGGAACATTGATCACTTCAGGGTTCTGAGTAATTTGCATTAGAAATGAATCGTCTGGCAGCAAATCAGCACCCCAGTCATCAAAATCATCACCCACAATCCCATCAAGCTTATTTGAGACAACAGATTCTATCTCAGAAGAGACTGCACTTGGAACCGTTTGTTCAGAAGCCATTTTAGCTTTTTCAGCAGGCAAGTGTTCCATAGATCTCGTAGCAGGTGATGAATCTTGTCTCTGATGTGCATCTTCAATCACAGATTCAGTAGCAGCTGTGAATTCATCTGGAGGGCACCCTTCCTCCAGCAAACTATCGTTCAATGAGCAATCGGACAGGCCTTCGCTCAGCTGACCACTACATTGCTGGGTAGGGCCATCAAAGAGAGCATTGAGTGCTCCTTCAACATCAAGATCTATGGACTTCCGGCTACTGTTTTCACAGTGCTCAACTGTCCCAGCACTCTTCTTAACTTCTCCAAAGGGCAAGACATCATCAGTTTGGGGGTGCTCTCCAAGGAAGTGCTGCTGATTTTCCATCTGTGCTTCATCTTGATGTTCAACTGATATCATTGCCTCTGATAAAATGTGGCTATTATGGGATGGAGCACTTTGATCCTGGATTGCATCAGTCATGCTTTTATCAAATTGCTTTGCCAACTTCATAAGCTCCTCTTCTCTGTTTCTCAACTGAAGTCCTCTAGGAGAATGAGCAGAAGGTGAAAATGCATTAATAATAATAATAATAATAATAATAATAATAATAATAATAAATTTTATTTATATCCCGCCCTCCCCAGCCGAAGCTGGGCTCAGGGCAGCTAACAACAATAAAATAATACAACATATTAGGAACACAATGCATTTTGAAATGGCTTACTTGTTTTATAGCTATTAGAAAACATACAGTGTAACTCAAATGAGGCACATTTTTTTACTCTTCAGTTCATTATTTTACCCCACTTTCCTAAGGGTATTCAAAGCAGCTTACAAATAAAACCACGGGATTACAAAATGAAATCAATCAACAAATCACCATCAAACAACCCAAAACCACAGTATCAGATAAGCAAATGAAAGTAATTAAAATAAGACAGCAACGGCAATTAAAAGCCAATAGAAGATAATTTCAAGTCTATATTCTATCTTAAAAATGGCCTCAAACTGTAAGGTTTTCACTAATTGTCCAACAGCTTGAAGTTCTACAAAGTTCAATGTGACTTACTCCTAACTAAGCATGTACTGTATTGCAGTCTAATAGCAGATACAGAGGAAGGACAGTAGATCTTCACCAGCGGAGTGTTTCATAATCAGGGAGCTACCATTGTGAAGAGGGAAATCAATCTCTTTTAGCTTACAATATCTACAAGTTTCGTGGATTTAATTACCATTCTGAAAGAATTCATTTTGGAATAAAACACACCTTGCGCCATTTACTTTTGTTCTACATCGTACTTTTGGCATTCCAGGAGTACAGGGAATTGCATCATCCCCAATCCAAAACTCAAGAAGAGATCCTTCAGAGCAGGCAGGTTTTTCATCCTGAACAGTAAGAATCAAATATGTGAACAGCCTTATTAAACATGAGTATCAATCAATTGTACCAGCTTTCAAAACTATTTTTAAAAGCATTTATTTATTACAACATTCATATTCTGCTTTTCTCATCAAAAAGTAGCAATAGTAACAGTAGTAATAATAATAACAATACTACTAACATAATCCAGGCATTACCACCAATACCGTTAATACAAACTTAATTTTATTTGTATGCCTTCTTTTCATACTTCAAACCCCACTCAAGGTGGCTTACATGGAAAAAAATTACATAGTTATAAACATAACAAAAGTAGTCACAAATAATCAAAATATCAAAAGTACAGTGGTACCTCGGGTTAAGTACTTAATTCGTTCCGGAGGTATGTTCTTAACCTGAAACTGTTCTTAACCTGAAGCACCACTTTAGCTAATGGGGCCTCCTGCTGACACTGTGCCGCCAGAGCACAATTTCTGTTCTCATCCTGAAACAAAGTTCTTAACCTATTTCTGGGTTAGCTGAGTCTGTAACCTGAAGCATATGTAACCTGAGGTACCACTGTACACAACTAAATTAAACAATTTCCACTTAAATCATAATAAGATCTAAAATAAAGATACAAAACTTAATATTGACAACAGCAACAACCACCCCAACAAAACCCTCTAAATAATATCCTAGTCCAAGAGACACAGCCAACAACAGAAAAATACCAAGGGCAAAATTTCAAGATGACTGCAGAGTACGTCCATAGAACAGAGATTTAACTACCCCACTCCAAAATCCTCCTTAAAAAGCCACATCCCCGCTGCCAGCTGAAAACCAAGCAATGACATGGACAGGTGGGTCTCTCTATGGAGGATGCTGCACAGCTTAGGAGCCATAGTTGGGAAAAAAACCACTGTTATACTTCAAGTTGAAACTGAGGTAGAAGAGAAGGAAGAGAATGCCATCAGTTCTTGAACACAAAGTGTAGTGAGCAGGCATTGATGCCAAGGTCTACAAAGCTGCAGAGGGCTTGGTGCCACTTTATGGAGCCTTCTGGTCCTTCTCCTCCTTGCTGTTACTGCCTGTTCATGTCCCGTTTCTATAAGCATGCAAGGAATGACAAGAGTGAGGAAATGGAACAGCATCCTCTGCTTGCCTTGTACTCTTGCTCTGGGTAATTAGGCAGATTTGAGTTTGAAGAGAGGGCAGTCATGTTTCATGGCCCCTGGAACTCTTTCCCTGTAGTCTGCTGGCACCATTGGGTTGTATCCCACTAAGTTCTACTCAGAGTAAACCCAGTGAAATTAATGGATCCAAATTAGCGATTTCCATTAATTCCAATGGCTTTACTCTGACTATGACCAATGCTGCATACAACCCACTCCCTTTAATACTTTAGTCAGGTTGTGGCTGATGACAGGGTTAAAGAAACACTATGCTTAGGGGGGAAAACAAAGGTGAAAAAGCAAACCAAAGAGGGCACCCCACATCACAAGCCCAATTGAGAACCAAGCATGAGCAGTAACCACAGAATGCTGATTGTTAATGAGGGAATAGCTGGCTAGAACTCCGAACAAGTGTCCTCCTTGTTAAGAAAGAGAAAGCACTGCAATGGTTGGTTGCAGGTCTCACTTATATCTCCTAAAGCGAAAAGCTACATGCTAATATTAATGATAACATCAGTTAACTCTACACTACTTGAATTTGTAGATATGGTTTACTTTTATCCAAGTTTCCTTTCTAACTATACAGACATTAGAATTTCTCAAGAAGAAACACCTTTCACAATGAAGGCTGTTTCTGCAAAAGAAAGAAAATGGGTTGGGATTATGCAGCTTTACCTTAGGAAGTAATACTTACATGGGGAGCAATCCGATTAACAATTTCTGAAATCTCAACCGTATGCCCACTAACCAACTGCTTCTTTTGCCCATTGCCTGAAAAACAAAACAAAAACCTTTCTAGCAACTGCTAATCACTAGACGATGGAGATTCCATAACTTAGAAGCAGACTAGCCCCTGCAAATATTAAAGCGTATGACTTCCTGCATGACAGAATTTATAGCGTGATGGCAGAAAAAAAAATTAAAACAATGTGCTCCAGAGTTGGAATAGGAAATCAAAGTTGGTAAATTTTCTCTCCCATTTTTCAGTCACAAGATATCTAAGGCAGTTTACAAATACTATACAAAATATCAATCCAATCCATAATTAAAATCCCATTTGACAAGAATCAGCACTGAGAGAGTGGAATGCCCTGTTTGGAAAGTACACTGGAGACCAGCAGACACTTTGATGGCAGATACACTGCAACATTTTGTTGCAGTCCCACTTGCACCTCCTAAAAATCAAGTACAGTGATACCTCGGGATGCGAACGGGATCCATTCCGGAGCCCCGTTGACATCCCGAACGGAACGCAAGACACGACGTCGCTTCCGCGTATGCGTGTGATGTCATTTTGACCATCTGCGCATGTGTGAGCAGCACAACCCAGAAGTAACGCACTCCGTTACTTCTGGGTCACTGCGGAGCGCAACCCGAAAGTTTTCAACCTGAAACGTATTTATCCCGAAGTATGACTGTACCTAGATACTTAAGTATACTTAAGTATCTAGATACTTGAAGAGGGAAAGAGACATGTTTTCTTTATTTTTAATTAGCACCCAGAAACCACAGAGCCTAGGACTTGCCGATCAGAAGGTCGGCGGTTCGAATCCCCGCGATGGGGTGAGCTCCCGTTCCTTGGTCCCTGCTCCTGCCAACCTAGCAGTTCAAAAGCACGTCAAAGTGCAAGTAGATAAATAGGTACCGCTCCGGTGGGAAGGTAAACAGCGTTTCCGTGCGCTGCTCTGGTTTGCCAGAAGCAGCTTAGTCATGCTGGCCACATGACCCGGAAGCTGTACGCCGGCTCCCTTGGCCAATAAAGCGAGATGAGCACCACAACCCCAGAGTCGATCACGACTGGGCCTAATGGTCAGGGGTCCCTTTACCTTTACCTTACCAGCTCTATAGCACCCTAGTGAAAGAACCTACAGAGTGAGTTCTACAACCAGGGAACCAGCACAAAGATAGCCCAACTCCTTGATGCTACTCACTTCCCCTCTGAAGTTAGGGGTGACAACAGCAGGCCCTCGGCTGAAGTTTTTAATGATTAGACAAGTGCATACAGAAACAGGTGACCCTTCAGACAAACTGGCACTAGACCATTTAGGTCTCTCACCATATATTCCCAAGGGATTAAATACTGATATAAATAAGGCAGACGTGAAATAAGAATGATAATAAGTAGATACCTAGCTTATATGCACTTGGTGACTGAGGATCCCAGAAGATTTCTTGCTGTACATCAGTTTCATTTGAAGGAGAACTAAATATAGGGAAACGTGAACTGGCAGGCAGCTTTCGTTTCGGAGTCTTATATGAACTTGTTTCTGTGTGAATACATGCACAAACAAAAACACTTCTGTAGAAATAAGCAAAACTGTTACATGCAATTTCTGTACCCTAATGAAGCAGTTCAAGATGTGAAACTGATTGGAGCAGATTTACCAATACAGGCAATATTTATCAACACAGGAAATTGTCTTAGATAAAGTCAGACCACTGACTACACTGACTAGCACCAGCTCTCCAGGGTTTCAGACACAAGTCTTTCCCACCTCTGCCTGAAGATACTGGGACTGAACCCGGGATCTCTTGCTCAGCAACACAGGTGTTCTACCACTGAGCTACAGCAGAGTTCAATCAGTTTTCTTCTGCCCCATCCTAAATGTTTGATTGAGGACCAATCACATTGGCTTCCCTGGAGCTCTACATAATTGCAGAAGCTATTTGCCATTTTTAAAGAACAAAAGTGCAGCCCAGATTCTAAAAAGATATTAACTTTCTAGGCCCAAGTCCAGGAATACTACACTTCCAGCTCTACAATTCTATGATTCTAAAATGCAGACCAGGCAGTGGGGACTGGATGGACTTTTTTCAGCTCGTGGAAGGGCTGCCTTCCAAGGACTACATGGCAGTGGAAAGCTGGGTCAGAGGCAAAAATATATGCAAGTTTGTACAGCGGGCTGCAATCTATTCACATAAAACCAGTGAATTATCCTGCAGGTCTAGTAACATTATTGGAAGATAATTCACAGAGTAAGGCTCAACCTTTGCACAAGGATGTGATGAGAGGGGTAGTCTCTTGACAAATACGCTGGTGTCTACCTCCATGGCACTATGGACAAATATTGCACCTGAGGGGGCAATATACCAACACAGCTGCCACAATCAATCAATATGACACCAGCTATTCTTCTCTTTTCTCTCCTCTCTTACTGTAGCATATCGCAATGCTGGCTTTTTAAAACAATGGTTCTCAAGCTTTTCATGAACCACTTGAAAATTGCTGGGGGGCTTGGAAAACTTTTTGTTGTTGTTGTTCTGCATATCAAAGGACATATGCAACTCCTATTTTTATAACCTTTTGTTCTTCAGTGCTGGCTTCAGTTTTTAATAACCAAGATGTTTATGAACTGTAGCTTGGGAGGGTCTGCCGTTTTCCCAAGAGAAGCATTTGTGGGTCAGCGGGCACCTTTCAATCGAGGGCAGCAACAGGCAACTATGAATTTCGAATTAAAACTGATCTGCAAGTGTCCCTTAGCATTTGCACGAGGTTTTTTTTTTGTTATTATTATTCTAGGTGCCAGGAAGTACTCTTTCCGTCGGGCACATAGGCTCTTCTGCATGGGTCCTACGTATTAACAGGCAAAGAGTGTTGGGGCCTCTTAAAAGACTTACAAAACCACTGCAGCACAGACCCGCCTTTTCCAACCAGGTGATCTCCATTGGCTTTGGACTCCTGCTTCCGTTACAACCAGCAAGCGAACCGGGGCCTTGTATAATCCAAAACATCTGGAGGGCACCTGGCTGGTGAAGGCTAGCAGGTGTCGTAGTGAATTTGTTCTGCGAACCACCCTGAGTGTGTGTGTGTGTACATATGTGTGGGTGGGTGCACATATGTGGGTGGGTATGGCTATGGATATGTGTGTGTATGTGTGTGTGTGTGTATGTGTATATATACACACACACACACACATATATATATATACACATATATGTATGTGTGTGTGTGTGTGTGTGTGTATATATATATATATATATACACACACACACACACAGGTACCTCGGGATGCAAATGGGATCCGTTCCGGAGCCCCATTCACATCCCAAACGGAACGCAAGATGCAACGGCGCATCTGCGCGTGCCGCGTTTCACCACTTCCATGCATGCGCGTGACATCATTTTGAGGGCTGCGCATGCAGTGAAACCTGGAAGTAACGCGCTCCGTTACTTCCAGGTTGCCACGGAGCGCAACTCGAACGCGCTCAACCCGAAGTACAGTACATTCAACTCGAGGTACGACTGTATATACTGTATATATACATATATATGTATGTATATGTGTGTGTGTGTATACTTACATACCCGCACACACATATATATATATGTGTATGTGTAGGGAAGTCTTAAGGCACAAGCCCCTTGCTGGCTTTCGCCTTAAACAACACACACGGCTATCCCTCCCCGAGTTATACAAGGAGGCTAATATTATTCCCCCCCGGCCCGTGAGGAAAGCAAGTGCCAGGATGGCACCGGGACCTTTGGCAGGGGAAGAGTAAGAGACCCTTCCGGGGGATGCTCTGCCTACGTGCTGCTTACTCGGGAGTAAACTCCCGCTCAGCCAAGGGCGGCTCGCGCGCCCACCGGAGGCGGCTGCCGTTCTGCGAGGGCGCGGAGGTGACGCCGAGGCAGGCGGGACCCGCCGAGGAGGTCGGTGCCTCGGGGGACCCGCGGGGACAAGGGGCGCTCATCCCCTCAGAGCCTCACCCTCGGAGCCGCGCTGCCCGCGGGGACTCTCTCCATCCTGGGCGCCCTCGGCGGGTCTCCGCCGCCTGCTGCTGCTCCGCTTCACGGGGCTCCGGAGGCGAAAATCCTCCCCTTCCGCTCTGGCCGCCGCCTTCCGCCGCTTAGCCGCCATATAAGATCCCCGCGGCGGCGCTTCCTCCCGCGAAGCGCGCCCAAAACTCACGGCGCCGCCATTTTGGCCGGCGTCACTAGCCGGCGCTGATTGGCCGACGCCGGCTCTCCGGGAGCCGCAATTGGTCAAGACTTAAGCTAAGGGGATTGGAGGAAGAGGAGCCGGCGAGCGTTCGGATGTGCGCGCGGCGGGTGTCGCGTCCAGTAGGGAGGCAGCTCTTTTTTTAAAAGGGGCCACGCTCCTCTCGCTGAACCCTGCGGGATGTGGGGTGGGGTCAGGCTCAAAGGCTTTAAGGGAAGGACTCAGACACAGGTTAACAGATGCCAGGTCTCTCTGGGAGTGGAGCTTCCATGTGCAACTGCAGTGTACCGTGCCCTCCTGGTGGCGCAGCAATGAAACTGCTAGTACATTTCCAAAACGAAGCAGTCAGTATGGTTTCACACTGAATGGGGAACCACATATTGAGATCCTTGCACTGCAAGTGCTTCAATTATTATTATTATTATTATTATTATTATTATTATTAATACCCCGTCCATTTGGCTGGGCTTCCCCAGCCACTCTGTGCAGGTTCCAAAAAAATATTAAAATATTGTAATACATCAAACATTAAAAGCTTCCCTAAACAGGGCTGCCTTCAGATGTCTCCTAAAAGTCTGGTAGTTGTTGTTCTCTTTGACATCTGGTGGGAGGGCGTTCCACAGGGAGGGCGCCACTACCGAGAAGGCCCTCTGCCTGGTTCCCTGTAACTTGGCTTCTCGCAGTGAGGGAACCCCAGAAGGCCCTCGGAGCTGGACCTCAGTGTCCGGGCAGAACAATGGGGGTGGAGGCACTCCTTCAGGTATACTGGACCGAGGCCGTTTAGAGCTTTAAAGTTCAGCACCAACACTTTGAATTGTGCTCGGAAACGTACTGGGAGCCAATGTAGGTCTTTCAAGAACGGTGTTATGTGGTCTTGGCGGCCGCTCCCAGTCACCAGTCTAGCTGCTGCATTCTGAATTAGTTGTAGTTTCCGGGTCACCTTCAAAGGTAGCCCCACATAGAGCGCGTTGCAGTAGTTCAAGCAGGAGATAACTAGATGACTCTTGGAGTCCCTTCCAACTTTACAATTCTATGATTCTATGTCCATGTGAATAACAAGCAGGGCTGGCCCACCCCTGAGGTCAGGAGAGGCGACGGGGGCTGCAGATCCCAAGGTTCATCTTTCTCCTTTCAGCGACAGGGTCACTGCCCAGAAGTTTGCTTCTTTTTTAAAACCTGTCACCCTCCCCTGCTTACAAAACAGTCCTAAGCTTTGCATTAAACCAAACACTGTTTTAAGCAAGTGCAGCTGAGTTTAATAGGGCTCCCCGGCAAATATGCATTTTAAAAAATGCCTTTATTTTCTGCAGCTCAACCCCTAAAATCTGTGGTTTAGGCTGCGCTTCTGTACAAACCCGTTGAACTCAATGACTTGGTTTCTGAGTAGCCTTTCAGGGTTAAGGATGCTCTACTTGTGTAGGGACACAGGTGGTGCTGTGGGTTAAACCACAGAGCCTAGGACTTGCCGATCAGAAGGTCGGCGGTTCGAATCCCTGCGAAGGGGTGAGCTCCCGTTGCTCCGTCCCTGCTCCTGCCAACCTAGCAGTTCAAAAGCACGTCAAAGTGCAAGTAGATAAATAGGTACCGCTCTTGCGGGAAGGTAAACGGTGTTTCCGTGCGCTGCTCTGGTTCGCCAGAAGCGGCTTAGTCATGCTGACCACATGACCCGGCTCCCTCGACCAATAAAGCGAGATGAGCACTGCAACCCCAGAGTCGGTCATGACGGGACCTAAAGGTCAGGGGTCCCTTTACCTTACTCTGTGTTGGATCACAGAAGGCTTAGGGGAACCTGTGGCCATCCAGATGTTGATGAACTACTATTCCCAGCAAACCCAGCAAGAATAGTCAATGGCCAAAGCTGATGGGAGCTGAATTTCAGCAACATCTGGAGGGCCAAATGTTTCCCACACTTGGATTACAGCCTTTCCAGCCAGATTCTATATGCATGTTTACTTAGACGTAAGTGTGTTCAGTAGGGCTTACTCTCAGTTAAGTGTGCATAGTATTTGCTGCCTCCATGCACAATGACTCCCCTGTGTGAATTCTCATTAACAGATCTGCTTCCAGTGGGCAGAGATCCCTGCTCACTAATCAAACATACATAAAACATGTGGGGCTCTGTTATGGAAAAATCTAGGTGTGAGGCTGCTCAGTCACCCAGCTCGTTGGGCAGAGCCTGCGAGTCCCTGCGGAATACAGGAAGGAGTCCAGCCAACCAGAGCAAATAGCTGTCCAGCCAACCAGAGCAAATAGCTGTAGACCAAAGTTTATTGCGCAACAGGTTCAAAGAGCAAATTTGAACCCCAAGGATGGGGTGACAAAGACTTTTAAAACTTTCCCACCATATCCCAGAATACAGTTCGTACAGGATCATTGGTACATCATTGCTACATCACTGACATGTCACAAAAGGGGAGGAGTTAACCTTGGCAAACATGTCCAGACAAGTCCTTGGTACAAGATTAGCATAAGCAGACATGGCAGGGCAAGACTCAGGTATAAGAGTAGCATAGACAAATATGTCTTAAGTACCCACCACCCAAAAGTACAATAGAAGTTCCTTTGCATGTCTGGAGCCTGAGGAGAGTCAGGTGATGAGATTTGGCTTCCTTTGGCTAACAATGAGCCCAGCAATTGTCACCTCTGGGAACTTCCTGGAGTCCTTTTTCAAGGGGAAAATAGCTTTAGAATGGAGGAAACTGGGAAAGGAGATGATTTTATATTATTTTTTAAGCTAGGTAACTTCCCTGAGCTGTCAAGTTGAAAGGATACATTCAGGTACAATATTTGTAATATTTAACTTTAAAGATGTGCCCCCCCACCCTGTAATTTCCGTAACAGGCTCCAACCTCTGCTTTTCTAAGGTGTGCTGAACAGCAGGAGGAGGAGTGCAGGTGGGCAATGGGAAGAAGATGAGCTGATTTGCTAAGGAAGCGATAACTCATATACCTTTAGGTAGGTGCATCTTATTCTCTGCACCTGCACCACTAAATGTCAAGCTTCACCTGGCTTTGTTTTTAATTATATATTTTTAAAATACATCTTTCCAAAGGAAGAGGTGATATAATATTTAAAAAATTGGGGGGTGGGGGGGAGAGAGTCCAGAATAAATGCAGTCTTTCCATCTTTCCCTTCCATAAGAACACAAGAAGAGCTCTGTTGGATTCCAGTTAATGACATGATTTTCAAAAAAAAATTATTACTCCTAAACACGGAAGGAGGCAGTTAATTTTTACAGATTGCCCTGCAGGCAGCAGGTTAACGGGTACAGAAAATGCATAACGTGATACCTAAATGTGACTGAAATATACCCATTGCCCTCAGAAGTGCAGACAAAAACTCAGCTAATTTTGCAGTTAAGTGTCTGAAGTATTTCATGAAGATGGATCATTACAGCATCATTGTGAAAATGTGTACAGTTTTCCAGAGAATTCTTGGGTGATCTCTTGCTTCTTCTGCTCTGTGTATGTATATTATACTTGACCTCACCATCCTGCTCCCCCAAAAAGACGTTAATTGGAATAACCACCTTTTTTATGTCTTTTAGAAGCCTGGGTGCTGAAAGTTTATTTGTTCTCTCCTTCCCAGCACACCTTGCTAAAAACGTTCTTTTCCTGTAACCCCTCACATACACCCCACCAGCTTGGCAACCTCTGTCTGCCCAGGTCCAAAATTCCCCCTAGATGGGCCATCGAAACCTTTTGTCATGCTAATGCGTCTATCCCAGGTGTGGCCCTGGCTTGGAAAGGAAGCTTAGCCTCAACTGGCCTCCAGTCTTACCCTCAATACTCCAAATAATCAAAAACCTACCATTTATTATTTTCCAGGGTTTTTTAGGGGGGGGGCATGTCCCTATATATTTGTACAAGCAAAATGTAGGACCTCATAGAGTCCACCTGTTATGTACTGAGTTGAATAGGATCCAAAAGGCAGCAGTCTGATTGGTCCTAGAACAATAGGATTCAGAATGCAGCAGTCTGATTGGTCCTAGAACAATAGGGTCCAGAATGCAGCAGTCTGATTGGTCTTGGAACAATAGGGTCCAGAATGCAGCCGTCTGATTGGTCCTAGAACAATAGGGTCCAGAATGCAGCCGTCTGATTGGTCCTAGAACAATAGGGTCCAGAATGCAGCAGTCTGATTGGTCCACAGGAGCCACCCAATCCAGCTCCAGGTGGAAGTGAATCCGCAACTGATTGGCCTACAGGTGAATCCCGGAATTGGCCAATCACGTGGGGCCCATTGTGTAAATAATGTATACAAAGCAGACATTCTAGGGGAACTTCCATTCCGCCTCACCACTATGAGCTGAATAAAGAGCATGAAATCCACTCTCGACTCCGAGTATATTTCACCACCCATAATCTTGGTTTCTGTTTTTAAAAGAATCCTGTACCTAGTTTTGTAAGAGTCGGCCTCATGGAGCTCAATGGGACTTGCTTCTGAATAGACATGTATGGGAGTGTCCCATTAAAGTAATCTTATATCCTGGGAAACAGAGGTGTTTCCTCCTGGAAACCGTTCTTCTTCGCTTTGTACTGTAAAGACAGTTGCTGCAGGGGCTAATAAAATATAAAGCAACAAGATCATCATAATAAGAAATGGAAATGTTCTGTTAAATGACAGCATTCATTCAATCCAAAGAAGAACAGAGTCCCCTGATGGTGGTTTGGTGAAACAGGACTGGGGTTGTGTCCGAAATTCTCATCCAAACTGATCTCCAGCATTTGGAGTTCCTGATGAACTTCCCCCATTTCTGAAGTGGGATTGATACTTCAGGAATTCTACATTTGATTTCCAGATTTGCTGCAGAGTATCTGTGCAAATGTGATTTGTGCAGCTCTGAGTTCATTTGTGTCCCCAGCCCACTCAAAATATTGCCATGCATTTGTTGTGGGCATTAATTAACACTACCCCCCAAAAGCACACACCCCAATATTCTTTTTGTGTGGAGTTTGACCAATGCACAGTAGCATAAAAACACAACAGATAGGAATGTCAAGCAGTGGCTGAATTAAATGGAACCCCCTTTCTTCTGAGGTCTCCCACTATCACAAGTATTTTAAAATACAGTAAGATAGCATCTTGCATGCATTTAACTTGTGTGCTTTCAACTATGCGTGTTGAAGGCAAGCAAGTAGGGGAGCTTTAAAGCTCATTTTGTGTCAAAAAAACTTGGTGCAAAAATAGCTTTTAAGCTCTCCAGTTCCTTTAGAAGCATGGCTGTCTCTGCGTGCTGGGTCTGGGAAGTTCTTTCCAGATCTTGCAGGAACTTGAGCAGCCCCATGAGAGCATCTTGGGGCCTCCTTGGAAGCCCTGGGATGTTTGTGCGGGCACTGTTCCAAGGGTTTGAGTACAGTGGAACCTTGGTTCTTGAACGGGTTTGTTGACGAACAAATCGGCTCCCGAACGCTGAAAACCTGGAAGTAAGTGTTCTGGTTTTCAAACATTTTTTGGAAGCTGAATGTCCGATGCGACTGTTGGCTATCGTTTCTGGGGCGCCTGCACCAATTGGAAGCGACGCCTTGGTTTTTGAACGTTTTGGAAGTCGAATGGACTTCTGGAACGGATTACATTTGAAAACCAAGGTACCACTGAATATCCATTTTTGCATGTATGTGGAACCCTTGGAACCACCCCCCCACCCCCACAGAGGATGCAATTGTGCAAAGAAATTTCTAAATTGATTTGGGCATATGGAGAATAGTCCTAACGTAAGAGTGATTCATTTGTTTGTGTTGGACTTCTTCTTTCCTCTAAGCAGAGATGAACACTGAAAGGATCACCAGAGGGCAAAGCAAACTCAGGAGTCTGTGCAGGATAGGCAGATATCACAAAAGATGGGAAGCAAGGTAGCTGCTTGGAAGCACAATGGAGTAGGATCCCTATTATAAAGAGTGCAGGAAACCAGGGATGGGGGAACTTGTGGGACTCCAGGTGTTGGAGTACTGCTTTCATCACCGTTGAGCATTGGCGTTGTTGACTGAGGCTGATGGGAGTTAGAGCCCAACAACATCTATGGGGTCACAGGCTCCCTACCTCAGATGTAGGCAGAAGTGGGGTGGGGGGAGAGAGACATTTCACAGGAGATCTCAGTCCTCAAGGCTTCTGTTTGCAAGAACAGTTTTAGAAGGTCCTCGGGCTTTAGAAGTCCGCATTTGTATTGCATTGAAATTCTTCTAGTCAGGGCTACCATTTGTTTGTCAGTTTCATATGTATACTGCCCTATACCCGTAGATCTCAGGGCGGTTCACAACATAAATTTACAATACCAAAAACACAGAATACATAATAAAAACAAAAACAAAGGCAAACTAATAATTTCCCCTTCCACAACACATTCAAAAGGGCATCAGATGTTAATCAGCCAAAGGCCTGTTCACCTGGCACCTAAAGATATGTAACTAGGAGTCAGCCAAACCTCCCCGGGGAGAGCATTCCATAATGGGGAGCCACAGCAGAAAAGGCCCGTTCTTGTGTTGCCACCCTCCAAACCTCTCATGGAAAAGGCACGTGAAGAAGGGCCTCAGAGGATGATCTCAGAGCCCAGGTAGGTTCAAATGCAGAGAGGTGGTATACCTCAATGCCTTGAGGTATTGCGGTCCTGAGCAGTGTAAGGCTTTATAGGTCAAAACCAGCAGTTTGAATTGGGCCTCGAAACTAATTGGTAGCCAGTGCAGTCAGACCAGGATTGGTGTAGTATGCTCAAATCGTCTTGCCCCGGTGAGCAACCTGGCTGCTGAATTCTGCACTAACTGAAGTTTGCAAACCATCTTCAGGGGGAGCCCTACGTATAACACATTGTGGTAATCAACGCAATATGAGCACCTCCTGTTTCTCCCAGTGACAAACTTGAGTATATGGGTCCTCACTTGTGGTATCAATGACTTCACAATGGGTGTTGCACCTGACGAAGGAAGACCACAGGAATCTCAGAAAGCAAGAAAGCAAGAAAGCAAGCAAGCAAGCAAGAAAGAAAGAAAGAAAGAAAGAAGGATGTGCCTAGTTGAGAATCATTCTCAAGGGAGCTGCCTCAGCAGCTCTCGCTGAGCTTCAGATAGCCTCCTCTTTTCCCATCATGTTCAAAGAAGAAAAAGTCACTTGTTAATTTATATGAAGTTAAAAGCAATGCCTTTAGGAAACCCCAGCACTGTAAACTACAGGGTTAGAAAATTCCGCTTGGTTTTACAAGTCCTCTTGATTTTACAAGTCGTCAGGACATTACGTTAGGTACAACATAATGGAAAAGGCGTCATGCCAGACATACCAAAGAGATTAATTCAGGCCAATTACCTGTGATCTCCAGCTGCCAAACCCAGCTCTCCAATGAGATAAAAAGGGGGAACGCGTGAGCATCCCAGAGGATCCTTTCACCTTGGCTGTCCAGGAGTCTTGTCTCATCTCTCTCTGTCTCTCTCTGTTTCCCCTTCTTGCCCTGAGGAGGAACAATGGCTCAAAAATCAGTCAGAGTCTCTAAGAATTTTAGCACCTCTTCAGCTGTTATCCCAGGTAGCCGAACTAGCTTCAGCACGGTTTCGGTCTCCCGGGGAGGTGGTGCAGGCTTTGGACGTGCCAGTGGTGGCTTTGGCAGCAGAAGCCTCCATGGCTTTGGAGCAAGTAAAAGAATCTCCATGGGCGGCTACCGTACTACTGCCAGATCTGGATATGGTTATGGATTAGGTCATGGAGGAGTTGGGTACCGGATTGTTGGTGGTGGTGGCTATGGCTATGGAGCTGGTGCTGGTGGCATCCATGAGGTTACCGTCAACCCAAACCTCCTGGCACCTCTTAACTTGGAGATTGACCCCACCATCCAGAAGGTGAGGAAGGAAGAGAAGGAGCAGATCAAGACACTCAACAACAAATTTGCCTCCTTCATTGATAAGGTAAGTTTTTCTCTGGATGCCATCCTAAAAACTTTACGCTACTTTAAAACAAGTTCCTTCCTGCTACTATTTAAACAAGCTCTGCTGACAATATAGGGCAGCTGTTTTCTTTCCGTGCCTGCTATATCCTACCAACATTTCATCGCTAGAAATAGACACAGCTGTGTACAGTGGTACCTCGGTTTTCGAAGTTCTCTGTTGACTAAAATTTTGTTTTTCGAATGCCGTAAACCCAGAAGTAAATGCTTCGGTTTTTGAACACGTCTCGGAAGTCGAACATGCCATGCGACTTCCATATTAAGTTTTTCATATTGAGTTTTCCATATTGAGTTTTCCGTATTGTTTGTTCAGTTTTCGAACATTTCAGAACTCGAACCGTCTTCCAGAAAGGATTACATTTGAAAACCGAGGTACCACTGTATTTGTAGAGCATCCTTGCTCTCACACCTTGGATCACTTCCTGATGGTTAATCAGAGATGGGGAAGAACTACAAATCCCATTATCCCTTGTTATGAACGCTGGCAGCTGGGCTAATGGGAACTGTAGTCCAAAATATCAGGAGGACACGAGGCTGGAAAAAGAGCATCTCCTCCCTGTGATCGGAGACGAAACTTCAAGAGACCTGGTGGAGAGAGCAAAAGGGGTACGAATGCATGATAGGACTATATGTCTTATATGTGTGGAAATTGCAGGGAAGCTCGCAGGCTTCATTCATATTTCAGCTGTTTTGTGCAACTTAACAGCATGACTAAGCATCTCAAAAAGAAGTAAATAATCTTTCATTGATGGGAATATGTTTTCCAGTAAGGGTGCTTAAAGGTAAAGGTACCCCCTGACCATTAGGTCCAGTCGCGGACGACTCTGGGGTTGCGGTGCTCATGTCGCTTTACTGGCTGAGGGAGCCGGCGTACAGCTTCCGGGTCATGTGGCCAGCATGACTAAGCCGCTTCTGGCGAACCAGAGCAGCGCACGGAAATGCCGTTTACCTTCCCGCCAGAGCGGTACCTATTTATCTACTTGCACTTTGACGTGCTTTCGAACTGCTAGGTTGGCAGGAGCAGGGACCGAGCAACGGAAGCTCACCCCGTCACGGGGATTTGAACCGCCGAACTTCTGATCGGCAAGCCCTAGGCTCTGTGGTTTAGACCATAGCACCACCCGCGTCCCAAGACCAGTCAATAGCTGGAGCTAAATTAGGGGGTAGGACATTAGGTCATGGAGAGAAATTTCACTTGTTTATATTTTACTGACCTTAAAAATGTGTGACTAAAGAAACCAAGGTTTTTGCAGCAAGTCGCTTATAATCCTCAGTGTCTTAGAACCAGCGAAATATTTATTTATTTAGTAACTCATTTAGTTTCAACATGAACCAAGGTTGTTAGCATAGTGGCGCCAGTAATTTGGTACACTGTTCCTTTTGAAATCAGACAGGCAGCTACAGCCCTGATATTTCATCACCTGCTCTAAGCACATTTGTTTCATTAAGTGTTTCCAGTGAATTGATAGGGATAGGGGGAGAAATTCAATTTAGTTTGCATTTAATGGCAAACGTACCTAATTTGCAGTTTCTGAAACAGTTACGTGAACTGGAACACTGCTGCCCTTCACATTTTGCAATGCAGTTCTCCAATGTGTACAAAAATGTGCACTTAAATACATACTGATTTACAAAATGTGTTTATTAAGGGAAATTACATACAAAAAATGTGTACGTAAAGAGAAATTTGTGTTGAAATGTTGATGGATTTTCAAGTGGGAATTTTAAAAACAAATTCACAAAATGATTTGGAAATGTGTAGAACTGAACTTAAGCTTGGAATAATGGAAAGAAGCTGAAATTCACAAGAGTCCCTCATTCCTGTGTTGATCGTTTGTTCTGGACTTAATGATTTTATAACTGGATAATGTTATAGCTGTGTGATGTTTTAATGATTTTATTGCATATCACCTTGATATTTTTTATGAATGGCATGCTTAAAAATAGTATTATAATTAAATTTAAATAAATAACTTGGATTGCCTCCACACCAGCCCCTTCCCCGAATTGTTATCCTTCATTCATTGGCTGGTTAGAGGAAATTCATACCACCCTCAAATAATTGCATTTGAGTGTTTTTGAGTTAGCCTCCTATACATATATTTGATTTGATCTTACATATATTTGATTTGTGGTGACACTTAAGTATTAGATGCAGGATTCTCTAGCTTTCAAGGGTCTTCTGTAGCTGAAGTGTGGAGGACACTATGGATGTTGGTGAACTCCCGTCAGCCCCAGAAAGCATGGCTCATGGCCACAGATCATGGGAATTGTATTTCAGCAACATCGAAAACGCCAAAGGCTCCTCACACCTGCTGTAGTTGGATCCAGTTTCATTCTCCTTTTGCACTGCATTGGCACATGATGCAAGATCAAATTATCTAACACTGAAGGTCTGGTTCTTCCGCTAAAACAAATTGTGTCAATGGAAAATGTTTAGATAGCTTTGTGTACCTTGCATAGAGTTCAGCTTTTGCTTGTCTTGTGAGAAAGACCTAAAGATGATGAAATTTGAACAAGGTGCTTCCAGTTCATAGCTGTACCCTTAAAATGCTGTACCCACTTATGCAATATGTGAGAGTAAATGAGAATTTAGCATGGGATTGCTAGGAAGAAATGAGAACATGAATAAAGATGGAGGTTGTAGTTGGAAGCCCAGGTAGCCGTGCAAGATATCAGACTCCACTGCTTGGTACCTACCGGCAGCTGAGAGCCCAAATTTGCTTTTAATATATAAAAGTCACAATTGATCCTGTGTCACAATCCACAGAAAATTCACCATGCTTTTTTTTTAAAAGCAACCAATAGACACAATTAGATGCCTGTGTTAAAAGATAACACTTCCCGGTTTCATTCCTATATCTTTCCATTTATCCACCATCTGCAAATCTCCTGGACCTTATGAATCATTTGATACTAACCACTCTTTGAGCTGCTATTAATACTAGCTCATTAGGTGCAACCTGCCAGCTTCCTGTAACATTTTCTATGTAAAGTATTTGCTGTGGCAATTTCTTGCAATCTATTTAAAAATAGAAGGGAAAGATATTCAGGATATTACCTCCTTTGATGGTGGTATAGCTTAGCAACCCGTATTCTGTTTTGTCCGTACACGAGGCCAACATTCAACATATTTTTGTCTTGGTGGGATACATTCAGGTCCGTTTCCTGGAGCAACAGAACAAAGTGCTAGAGACCAAATGGAGCCTCTTGCAGGAGCAAAAGATCACCCGGCGTAACCTTGACCCTTTATTTGAGTCATACATCAGTGGTCTAAAAAATCAGCTGGATCATATTCTGGGACAGAGACCACAATTAGAGATGGAATTGAAGAACATGCAGGATACAGTGGAGGACTTCAGGATAAGGTGGGTACTGTAAGATAATTATTGTTATCATCATTGTTGCATGGTAGGGGGTTAGACTAGATGGTCCTTGGGGTCTCTTTCACATTTACAATTCTATGATAACCACAATTAATTTATAAATCAGCTTCTGCACAATTGTCTCAAGGCGGTGTGCAGTTAAAAACACAAACAAAAAAACCCCAACTAATTTAAAGCATCACAACAGCAGACACATTTAAAAGAAGACAATACAAATTAGACTGTCAGGACAAAGACCCATTTATCCAGTTAGGGAAGTCTGTTGGAACACAGTTGTTTCTGGAAAGTGCAGGTGGTGGGTGTCTTTCAAGAGGGAAGCTGTTCCACAACAGGGGCAGCCACACATACTGCAACAATCTGACTGAAGGCAAAAGACTGTAAAATAGACAAATGAAATGACAAATTTCAGTCTTCTCCTACTAGCGATCTCCTTAGCTGACTGCTGATGCTCTAAATGTGAAGCAAAATCTCAGTCAGATGAAAATCTTATTTATTTTTGGTCACATGTCAAAAGTCAGCCTGGCTGGGCATCTTCTGAAGGCCCAAACTCCAGCAGCCCCCACCCACTGTCCACTGTCCCTCAGACCTTGTGGGGGGCCAGACTATATTTTTTTTGGGGGGGGGGAATGAACGAATTCCTATCCCCCACAAATAACCTAGAGATGCATTTTAAATAAAAGGGCATATTCTGCTCATGTGAAAACACGCTGATTCCCGGACCATCCACGGGCCGAATTGAGAAGGCGATTGGGCAAGATCTGGCCTCCAGGCCTTTGTTTGCCTACCCATGCCCTAAACACTGAAAAGATTATGGTGTCCACCATTTGCAGTTCAAAATAAAAAGAATACTAACTAGTAAAATAATGTTTCCAACAAACAAAAAACATACATTTATTGCAAACCATGACAGGATCTAGTTTCATTGCATTATTTTTATCTACATTAGTAGAAGGTCCCTTGGTTTAGGTGAGGCCAGGAAAATGGCAGAAGACTGGAGAGAACAAGAAGTGCAGGAAAGTTCTGATTTTGCCCACAATGACCGCTCCCCACATTAAATGGGGGGCGCCCTTTGCGTGGTCGCACGCAGCCCCCTGGACTCTATGTAGCTCCATTAGCACTGACTTGGCTTTGCCTTCCCTCAGGTGGGATACCTGAAGGTCTCCGCCTACCTCAGTCAGTTGTCCAATCCCGCCTGGGGAAGCGTTGCCAAGGGGACCAGGCCAGGTAGGGGGAGGGACTACCTGCCCACACAATAGAGGGAGGATCTTACCTGGAATCTTCAGTTGGCTCCAGAGCTTGATTTCTTTGATGCTTTTCCTGAAATGCCAAATGCCAAATTCTTTGATATATGTACCGTATTTTTCGCCCTATAGGACGTACTTTTCCTCCTCCAAAAATGAAGGGGAAATGTGTGTGCGTCCTATGTGGCGAATGCAGGCTTTCGCTGAAGCCTGGAGAGCAAGAGGGGTCGGTGCGCACGGACCCCTCTTGCTCTCCAGGCTTCAGGAAGCTATCCGCAAGCCCTGGGAGCCCGTGGGAGTTCCCACAGGGCTCCCACGGCTTGCACAGAACTGCCTGCATCCCAAAGCCCGGGCTGGCTGAGCAGTCGCGCCCGGGCTTCGGGTAGCTCTGCGCAAGCTGCGGGAACCCTCCCACGGCTTGCGCAGAGCAGCCTGTTCTGGGGGATGGGGTCGGGGGAAGCTTGGGCTTCCCCCGCCCCAGCCCTGCGCCTGGGGGGGGGGGAAATAATTTTTTCCCCTTTATTTCCACCCCAAAAAACTAGGTGCGTCCTATGGGCCGGTGTGCCCTATGGGGCGAAAAATACGATATATCATTAAATTGCTGAACAGCAGGTTCAGTATGTTGGCCAAGGAAAGTGGAAAATTGTAAGATGATTATTATTACCTACTCTTCACCCTAACTTCCCATAGCAGGTCACAACAGCTTAAAATACAACATTAAGAATGGTTTAAAAGGAATCATAATCACTATATATAGAAAAAAACACACACACACACACACACACACACACACACACAATATTGGTTCAAATATAAGCTGTCCCCCAATATAGGTCACACCCTTAAAATGAAAATGTTTTGAAAGGAATCTCTTAAATCTCCAGCACCATCCAGTGTATTTTTGTTTGGCTTTTTTACAATCTAAAAATCAAATGCAAACTTTGCACTCGTTTCACAATAGACATACTGGGTGATCCTTTTACAAAAACCAGTAAAGTACACCAAAGTTCTTCATGGGTCCAGAGATGGGCTTAAATCACAGCTTTTCTACTTGCAAGAGCACAATTATAGGCCACACTCAAGTTATATACAAACCAGATTAATTGAGAATGTGCAGCCTGTATTCAGATGAATATGGCATGAACAGACACACCCACACCCCTCTTTCATGGGGGTTTAGAGGTTGTCAAATGGCCTTTCCCCATTGCTCGGCTCCAGGGAACTAATGGCGTTAAGACGAGCCAGCTGGATCAGGCCCACTGCCCATCTCGTCCTGTTTTCATGGCAGCCACCCACATGCCAAAACTGCATTCCCAGAAAGGGATTGTTTCTGCTGCACCTTCTGGCCCCTTCGTATTTGGCAACGTTCAAGAAAAGAAAGGTGAAGGCAGACTGGTCTTGGCCTCTCCTCAAAGTAAAGTCAATAAAACTAGTTCGGACGTTTTCATTTGTGAATTCCTTCAGAAAGACGTAACATCAACCAAGGCCAAAAGCCAAAACACCAGGACACTTCAGGGCTCACAGTGCTCTGTTTTTGAGGATGAGTCTCTTTGTGGGCTTGTAATAGGGGCACAGCACATCAAATGCCTCTTGATCTGGGGTTGCATGGAGAATAGGCCTGAACGTGAGCTGCACTTATCACCAGGATTGATGAGAAGACAGTAATTCTGGTTTATTGCGGTGTTAGCTCTTCTTACAGCCTTCCACTCCCTTCCTCAGGCATTGCAGGTCTAAACCACCACCATCCCACACACTCTGTGTCCTTCCCAAAGCCTTCAACCCAGGGGTCAGCAACCTTTTCCAGCCATGGGCCGGTCCACTATCCCTTAGACCATGTGGTGGGCTGGACTATATTTTGAAAAAAGAATAATGAACGAATTCCTATGCCCCACAAATAACCCAGAGATGCATTTTAAATAAAAGAACACATTCTACTCACGTAAAAACACGCTGATTCCCGGACCATCCATGGGCTGGATTGAGAAGGTGATTGGGCTGGATCTGGCCCCCGGGCCTTAGTTTGCCTACCCGTGCTTCAACCAGTGCTTCCCAAAGCCTTCTGTCTGAATTTGCTCTTTACTAGCATCCTACCCCAAGACAGCCACCATAGATGCTCAGAGTTCAGCCTGGTCCCTGTGTCATTGGCGGGTTGGGGCTAGGGCCTCACCTGCTTCTGAGCCCTGGGGCACTCCAGTAGCCCCTTTCTCTAAGCTATGGGGCCTGAGAAGTCACACCAGTCTGCATTCCCAACTGTTGTATCTGGGGTTTTAGAGAGCACCAAAAAACCCCACCCCTATGACTATGTCAACAAATTGATACTTAACATTATTGCCTCAAAGCTCATAAATGACAGTTAAGCATTATCCCCCCTCACACCAAGCATTCCTCAAAGCCTAATTTCCAAAGTGAAATTCTAAAATAAAATTTGAATTCTAACATTTTGATGGCTGCTAGCTTTAAATGTTTTGAAAGGATGTGAACAAACGAGGAAGACTAGTTTATGAAATGTTATTAGCCATGTTACCTAAATGGAACCTTCATGTTCAGAGGCAATATATCTTATATAGCAGAAATGTTGGAGACAAACAACTGAGGGGGTTTCTTGTGGGCTTGCTGGAGCCAAATGGATTGCTATTTATGCTGCGCTATATGGACACTGGTCTGATCAAGTAAGGATCTTAAGTACTTGTGCTGAATTTGGAATTTGTGTAAACTTTCATCTTGACTTCAGCAAATATCAGTCTTCAAACAGGGATGTGCTTACTTTTTTGCACATGGGTTCCATCCTTCTACTTTAGTCTGGTGAAAGAGCCAAAGATTATTGTGGCAGGTGCCAGAAGGCGATGGGAGACTTTAAAAGAATTCTGTGAAATAGGTGGGAAGGTCTTCCCCCCCCACTCATCCAGTGGTAATGAGTCACTCAATTTCCCCCTCCCTCCGACAGGTATGAAGAGGAAATCAACAAGCGCACAGGTGCAGAAAATGATTTTGTGGTGCTCAAGAAGGTGAGTGGGTTTCCATGAGGCAAGACACAGTGATAACAGCAAGAACCTTGATTGAACTACATAACTGGGAAACAGGGGCAAAGCAACTGCTTATATAAATTTCTGAAAGCTTGGGCCACTCCCACTCCCAACGTGATTGGCTGTCTAAACTTCCAAGTTGCGAATCACAACTCAGAGTTCAAGGGCCAATGGCAGAGGCCCCAATCCTGAAATGTTCTGTGATTGCACATCGTGTATCAAATCAGAACAAAGGAGCTCAGAATCCTTAGTCCAGACTCAAGCTCAGGCAAACACAGACCACTGAATACATAACAGTAACTTCAGCACATTTGGCACAGAGTGATGGGGCCACTGCTTTAAACAAATGCATGCTTTAACCCTTGTACTTTTAGGGGAAACTTGTGGTTTCGTTTTGGCTCTCACATCTGCTGTGGTGTTCAGCCCTTTGGTCTTTTTCTCTCTTTCCAGGATGTGGATGCTTCCTTTATGAACAAGGTTGAGCTGCAAGCCAGAGTGGATTCCCTAGCTGATGAAATCAACTTCCTGAGAGCTTTCTATGAAGAAGTAAGAACACCTTCTAGTTTTTTCAGGGAGAAAGAAAGAAGAGTCTAGCAAGATGAGCCCAAACCAGCTCTGGTTGACATTTTGCATTTTCAAGCATTGGTTGCTACCAACAAGTTCAATCTCTAGGCCTCTACTCAGATGGCATCCTAACAGAGAGGAAACCAGCTCCTTGTGGCTCAATCCTATACTACTCTGCTGAAGTCTAAGTCAGAGATGGGAAACTTCTGGCATTCCAGATATTGTTGGACTACAACTCCCATCATCCCTCATCATCGACCATGCTAGCTGTGGCTGATGTCATCTGGAGTCTAGCATTATCTGGAAAGCCACAGGATTCCCCAGTACCAATAGGCTGTGTAGGCATCGGCATATAGGCCCCAAGCCTTTTCGGGCCCCTGAGACAACAGATCAAAATAATCTTGATTTGATCTTGAAAGAAAATTGAAATCAAGCTTTCTTAGTTCAATGCTATCCCAGTAGAGCATGCGCACAACGGGGGTGGACTGCAATTTCAACTGCCATCCGGCCTCCACAGGGCTTGATCCGGCACAGCTCAATCATTTTTGCCATTTTTGCAATTTTTCCAGCAGCGTCTTTGCTGTTCCACTAGAGAAGCTGCCCTAGAGGTATACCTTTTGCTCCCTACTGAAATATTGGGACCTGTTAACAGAATCCAGCTTATTTCAAACTGTTTCTTACTTAATATGTCACTCAGATGCCATAATAAAATACAATCCGGACTGAAAGATGAATGGATAGACAAAATACAAAGAGTTAGGCCTGACATGTAACCAACCAAGCACCAAGGAAGTCTTTTGAGGTGTGACTGCATCCTCAATATTAGCAAGAATTGGGCGTGTTTATTTCAAGCAGGGTTGCAGACTGTTCTAGGGTCTCACTTTTCCATCTAGTACAGTAGAGATGGGGGAACCCTCCAGACATTGCTAGACTACCACTCCCATAATCTCTGACCCGTGACCATGCTGGCTAGGATGATGGCAGCTGGAGTCCAGCAACATCTGAAGAGCCAAAGGTTCCCCATCTCTGAAATAAGCTTCAGGTTGCAAAGTTTCCTTGCTCAGTGTGGACCAGTGCTTGAATGTGGTAGAGATGTGGGAGTCTTTCATCTTGGTAAGCCCTCTTTCTTCAACTTTTTTCCTCATGTAGGAATTAGCCCAGTTGCAGGCCCACATTTCTGACACCTCTGTCGTTCTCCAAATGGACAACAACCGAAACCTGGACCTGAACAGCATCATTGCTGAGGTCAAGGCTCAGTATGAAGACATTGCCAACCGAAGCAGGGCTGAGGCAGAATCGTGGTATCAAAGCAAGGTGAGTAGTTCTTAAGTGTTGGGGAAATGGGTTTGAAAGGAGGAGCCAGGGCTCTAAAGCCATGTATCTAGAGTGGCCATGTATCTTACTTTTACAGAAGACAGTCCCTGTTTGAAGAGCTGTTGGAGGATATTCCTGTACCTCAAGGCATCCTCTGTTTGAAAGGCTGTCTGATCTAACTCCATGTAAAGCTAAAGAACCCTAAGAAAGGAAAACATGGAGGATCTTGAAGTTGCCCATCACCAATGAGCACCTGGGCAGCAGACTGAGCAGGCATGAAGGTCACCTGCTCACAGCCTTCCCAATATGGGGAGATGTATTGTGTGCCTATTTGACCTGTATATATTATGTCTAAATTTACATCTACAGTCGTACCTTGGTTGTTGAACAGGATGCGTTTCGAGATTCCGTTCAATTCCTTTTTTTTTTTTAAAGAATATTTATTCCAATTTTAAAATTACATAGAAAGAAAAAAGCAAAAAAAGAAAAACCGATCACATACACCCTACAAGAAAAAAAAAAAGAATAACACACAATACAGAAAAAAATACAAAAGACAAAAAATCACAATACAAAAATAACAAAAAATCAAGTTAAGTCATTAAGATCATTTTCCCATTTACTTATTTCCCAGACTTCCTCTCACTTCTCTGCTTTGTATTCTAATTTAAATCGTATCTCCAGCAAACCCTTCTAACCTTCTTTTCATTTACTTAATTTAACATTCAAAAATATTTAAATATAAATATCAATTCCTGGAACCATTCAAAAATTAAGGCGCAGCTTTCAGTTGGCTGCAGGAGCTTCCTCCAGCCAATCAGAAGCCACAGAAGCCACGCCGGATGTTTGGCTTCCGAAAATCATTCGAAAACTGGAACACTCACTTCCGGTTTTTTATTGTTTGGGAGCCGAAACATTTGGCACCTAAGCCATTTGAGATCCAAAGTATGAGATCCAAAGTATACATGTGCACATTATGCAAATCTGTGTCCTCCTTTCTCTACTTTGGAGTTTTTTCCTTTTTTTTGAGGAAGGGGTGATGCATTTGCTCTCTTTTTGGTAATTTAAAAGTGGCCACCCATTGTTTGCCTCCATCAAAGTTTGCACTTCAGTAATCTAAATAATTCCCCCCTTTTTTTGACTCTCAGTATGAAGAATTGCAGCTTTCTGCTGGAAGGCACGGAGATGATCTGCGCAATACAAAGACTGAGATCTCCGAGCTGAACCGCATGATCCAACGACTCCATTCCGAGATCGACAATGTGAAAAAACAGGTACTGCCATGCAGGGCTGCTGAAAATTTCAACTAAAGGAGTATTTCATGGCAAGGCTGGCAAGGGGCAGTGGCAGCTATGTGGGGGGTGGACTTAGAGGGAAGTAAAATAAGCTTTTTTTGTACCAGTCTTCAAATGCCCTCTTTTGCTGATGACAATACTGTGGATCCAGCTATTTTACTTAATTCTAGTTAAATTATCCTAAGTTGCTCCGAGCTGAGAACATTGCCTTTTCTTCTTCCCCTAGTGTGCCAGCCTGCAGGCAGCCATTGCCGATGCAGAGCAGCGTGGAGAACTTGCCCTTAAAGATGCCAGGATAAAGTTGGCCGAACTGGAGGAGGCTCTAATGAAGGCCAAGGCGGACATGGCTCGTCAGCTTCGGGACTACCAGGAGCTCATGAATGTCAAACTGGCCCTGGATATTGAGATCGCCACCTATAGGAAGCTGCTGGAAGGGGAGGAGAGCAGGTTGGTGGAACTGGGCTGGGGTGAAGTGTGAAATGCACCGCTAGACTGCTGGTGGAAAAAGACCCTCTCTTGGTGTGGACAGACCCCATCCTCCTCTTTGATCTCCACCAGGCTTCTTGCCAACCAAGGTATCACCCAGGGCTGGAGAACTGTGGTCCTCCAGATGTCATTGGACTCCAATTCCCATCAGCCCCCACCAGATTGGCTAGTGGTCAAGGATGATGGGAGTTTTCGTTCAACAACATCTAGAGGGCCACTCCACAGCAGTCAAAACTATTCATGGCTACAACACACATATCTAATATAGGCCCCTGTTGACCAGTGGTCCCAGATACAATGTTTACATTATGATGACGGGCTCTGAAAACTAAAGCAATTTTTTTGGCCAGCCTCCTGGGAAGAGAAGTTTAGCCAAAGGGCGCCCAGGCCTATCATTACCACCTGGAATCCTCTCATGGTCACTGGGTCCCTTGCTGATGCTGAGGCCTCTGTTGCGTGGCGATTCCCGCCCACCCCCCCCCCCAAGTTGGAATGAAATAAAGACACAGGACACCAGAATTTAAGGTTAATGGGCGAATATTGGCCACAACTTTATTGGTAAGAGCGGTATTGGCTTTAGGCATTGGTCCTATCAGACTATCCGGGATAAACCCGGAAGGCGTTAACACCAATAGGGGGAGCCCTGAGATGCACATCCCTAGGCGCTCCCCGAGGGGTCACCGCTCGGGAGCGCGCTTTAGGCCCTAGCCTCCATAGGTTTCGGACGAGGCAACGCCCCCCCCCCTGCCGGAATCCTTTATCGGACTACCCCTAAATATTTGGGGGAGGTGATGGCGCTCCTCCCCCCCAACTCATCAGCATAATACCCCTACCAATGCCTAACCGCCCAAACCAAAGGTGTTGTGACGTTTTGCTACGAGGTAGGCGAAAAAACCAAATGGCTCCAAAAACAATGCCAATTAGCCAAGTGGAAAAACTCCTACCAGGCCCTTGCGGCGATCAACCGAGGTCCATAGCAAAGTCCGAGGAAAAACCTAGAGGGTGGGTGGGTAGGAAACTGCAGCTGGAGCGTGGATGGAAAGGGGCGTTCTTGGGCCACGCTGACCTTAAATGACCCAAGCCCCGCCCCTGCAGCCAGCCGATTGGCTGGCTCAGGGTATGACGCAGCCCGAAGATTCCCCTAGTTGCGCGGGGCCGCAGCCAGCCCCACGCGGATGAAGGTGGGTGTGAGCCCGCAACCCCCCCCCCCAATGTCGGGAGTGGCTTTCTGGCTGGAGTTTGCAGTTGCAATCTAAGAATGCTGCCATGGGTTCGTGGTAGCTGCCATGTTTTTTTTAAAACCCACACTGCCATTGGAAAATGGAACTTCCTGGGCACTGCAGCTTGGAAAATGAAGATGGCAGCTGCAACTATGGCGTCTGGGCCCCCACCAGACAACTCTGTGCCAAGCAGCCCCTTGACACAACCCTTGGGATACCACAGCTCCAAAGACCATTTTGCTCTATCACTTTATTGTGGTAGTGATGGGGAAAAGACAGGATTGCTTGACCTCATTCTAGTGATCATTTCCTGCACATGGAAAGCAAGTTGTAAATGAGAAAAAGTTTGCAGCTTCCAGTGGGATTTCTCTATGCACAGAAAACTAAAGTCTTAATGCTCTTGACTAGAACAGTGATCTTACTGGCAGCTATTAGCTCTGCAGAATTGCATTTGAACCACTGCTATTTCCCCCCAAGCTGCTGGATCATAACAATTAAAGTAATTTCCTTTCCTCTCTCATTTAACAGGCTTGCTGGAGAGGGAGTTGGCGCCGTAAATATCTGTAAGTAATAAGCAAGTGAATCACAGAAACTCACAATCCCCTAATTAATTACCTCTCACCACTGATCTAAAGAAATAAAGGATCAAATGTTTTGTCAGCAACAAAAAATATACCCAAAGAAATGCATAGTTATTGTATCAAAACAGAAATACAGTGGTACCTCGGGTTAAGCACTTAATTCCTTCTGGATCATAGAATCATAGAGTTGGAAGAGACCACAAGGGCCATCGAGTCCAACCCCCTGCCAAGCAGGAAACACCATCAGAGCACTCCTGACATATGGTTGTCAAGCCTCTGCTTAAAGACCTCCAAAGAAGGAGACTCCACCACACTCCTTGGCAGCAAATTCCACTGTCGAACAGCTCTTACTGTCAGGAAGTTCTTCCTAATGTTTAGGTGGAATCTTCTTTCTTGTAGTTTGGATCCATTGCTCCGTGCCCGCTTCTCTGGAGCAGCAGAAAACAACCTTTCTCCCTCCTCTATGTGACATCCTTTTATATATTTGAACATGGCTATCATATCACCCCTTAACCTCCTCTTCTCCAGGCTAAACATGCCCAGCTCCCTTAGCCGTTCCTCATAAGGCATCGTTTCCAGGCCTTTGACCATTTTGGTTGCCCTCCTCTGGACACGTTCCAGTTTGTCAGTGTCCTTCTTGAACTGTGGTGCCCAGAACTGGACACAGTACTCCAGGTGAGGTCTGACCAGAGCAGAATACAGTGGCACTATTACTTCCCTTGATCTAGATGCTATACTCCTATTGATGCAGCCCAGAATTGCAATGGCTTTTTTAGCTGCTGCGTCACACTGTTGGCTCATGTCAAGTTTGTGGTCAACCAAGACTCCTAGATCCTTTTCACATGATCACTCGCGCCTACTCGAGGTCCGTACTTAACCTGAAACTGTTCTTAACCTGAAGCACCACTTTAGCTAATGGGGCCTTCCGCTGCTGCCACACCACTGGAGCATGATTTTTGTTCTCATCCTGAAGCAAAGTTCTTAACCTGAAGCATTATTTCTGGGTTAGCGGAGTCTGTAACCTGAAGCGTATGTAACCTGAAGCGTATGTAACCCGAGAAACCACTGTATTAGGTTGTGGAATTCTTTATGCCTTCTTTGATGTTCCTCAGATGTTTTAATCCATGAACCCTGAACTTCTCCTCTGGTCCCTTTGCAGCTGTGGTCCATTCATCTGGAGGCATGAACTACGGCGGTGGAAGTGCCATGGGCCTTGCAGGCGGCGTTGGCCTTGGCTACGGAGGAGGCCTCAGCACTGGAGGCAGCAGTTTCACCTCTGCTGGTGGCAAGGCGCTATCTGGGAGCATTGCTTCAGCCCGGGGGAGCAGTTCCAGTATGAAGATTGTGTCAAAAACCTCCACCACCAGAAAGAGCTACCAGAACTAAAGGTGTCCTCAGCTAAGTCAGGGATGGAGATACCTGTGGTCCTCCAGGTGTCGCTAGACTCCAACTCCCATCCAGTACAGCCAGCAGTGAGGGCTGATGGGAGTTGAAGTCCAACAACTGGAGGGCCACCAGTTTCCCCATCCCTGGAAGTAGTCAAATTAGGCAAGGCTGACTCGCAGGGGCAAACTAGACATAAGAGTGATGGGTCCCACTCAGTGAACACGCTGGAAGGGAGAACTACAGAGTGGGATGGAGAGAGAAAAGAGAGAGATCTACGCAGGTATATCAGTGCAGTGCATGAGAGATGAAGTAATGAGAACACCGCTTGCATTTTCATCGTGGGATCTTCCTGATCCAGCAGATCTTACCAGACATTACAGGTGATCTAAAGTGCTTATTAACAGCTTCTCAATGGCAAATTTTACATCCACAGTTCCAGAGGTTCCGTTAGGAGATATTCCTAGCCCTATCTGGGTTGAAACTGGTATCTTCTGCATGCAAAGCCGATACTCTATCACTGAGCTGTGGCCCTCCCTGAACTCCCAGAGTTCCCTGGGAAGATGGGTTGCTTGTTAAACCCATCTGGTATCTCTGTGAGGAGAATAGGTGTCTCCTAACAGCTCACAGCATCCTTAAAAAAACAACACAGTTTCCAGGGGAAAGCCATGACTGTCTACAGTGGCACACCACTGATTAAATGGATATCACAGATGGGGCTGCATCTGCTAGGGTTGCCATGCAGTAGTCAATTCAGATTTACGATATGAAAATATAACTTATATTCTTAGTTACTTCATCGCCACTCATGCACTCATGCATTGCACTGATGTAGTTATGTAATACCTCTGCCATTTACTCTTCCTCCCACTCTGACTATCAAAAGATGTGAGATCTGTTCTCCATAGGTATCAGGACTGGAGAACACACACAGGGCATCTGTCTATTCTATATATTTCACTGTGCATCATGCAGTTCTGCCATTACCATTTACTGTGTTTTTCATTGGCTAACCATATGTTTTTAAGTACATTTTTAATTTTCACATCTGCCATTAAACACACATTGAAGTTAAAATGCATTAATTGTCCCCTAATAAAAACAATTCATTATTTTCTGAAAATAATGGGCATAATATGTATGGCTCTTCTGACAAATTAATGGGATGGGGACCTGTAGTCTTGTTTCCTTCTATAGCTAACAATACTTTCTTGTGTGGGGGAAGAGTTGCAGGGCAAATGTTAAAGGCTTAAACCTCTTCCCTCAGTACTGTAAACCTGATTCAGTTCCCCCTCAATATAGTCATTAAAATATAATCAGGAAATCAAGGAGTGAATTTCCCTTTTCATATTTAGTTTTACCCTTAAGAGTGATTGGGTAATGCTGCGTAAAAGCCAACCATCATGGAATGACGTTCATTCTTTCCATGTGAAATATCTTCCAGAGGAAATAAAGAAGGATTGTCATTTGTAATTTTGGTTTCCATAAAACATATTGGGTCCATGAACATTTTTCGTGGAAGGTTTTTCTCTGGAATAATGCAGAAAACACAAACCCTATCAATATAAATTTCAGGAAATTTGAATGCTCTTCAAAAGACAAACGTGTTTCAGTGGTTCATTGAAAACATTCTTGGTTTTCTATCAAGCTAAAGTCTTTGGGATTAGGAAGCAGAAATCAGTAAAAAATGAAGAAATTGTTTCAGTGTTTGCAGTAAAAATAGTAGCATTATTTTGTGTTCTTTGTTGCTGTTTTCAAAACAATAACACGTCGACAGCTTAGCTGGCTTTACCTTGGCCTTGCGTGAATTAATTTTCCCAGAATGTTATGCCATTATGTATAAGAGCCTGGAAACAAGTATCAACACCAGAATGGTCTTTGCATAATCAATATGTAGCAGAATCACCTGGAATAAGCAAAAGGGTCATATCAGTTTATTGGCTCCATGACTGATGGCTCCTTGTAAGGAAAGGAGATGTATTTCTGGTCTATAATTGTACTCAAACCACCACAGCACTTGTGTTACTTTTGTGTTTATGTTGAAGTCTTTTGAATTTCATGCCATCTCCATAATAAAACTGCTGTCGATCTAAGCTGTGTGCATCGATTCTGACTGTGTGGGGCTCCTTTCATACAACTTGCTTTAAGGCCCGTTCTTGTGTTGCCACCCTCCAAACGTCTCATGGAAAAGGCACGTGAAGAAGGGCCTCAGAGGATGATCTCAGAGCCCAGGTAGGTTCAAATGCAGAGAGTACCTTGAGGTATTGCGGTTCTGAGCAGTGTAAGGCTTTATAGGTCGAAACCAGCAGTTTGAATTGGGCGTGGAAACTAATTGGTAGCCAGTCCAGTCAGACCAGGATCAGTGTGGTATGCCCAAAGCATCTTGCCCCGGTGAGCAACCTGGCTGCTGAATTCTGCACTAACTGAAGTTTCCAAACCATCTTCAGAGGGAGCCCTACGTATAACACATTGCGGTAATCAACACTTTGCAATATGAGCATCTCCTGTTTCTCCCAGTGACAAACTTGAGTATATGGGTCCACACTTGTGGCATCACTGACTTCACAATGGGTGTTGCAACCTGACGAAGGAAGACCACAGGAATGTCAAAGGAAGGAAGGAAGGAAGGAAGGAAGATGTGCCTAGTTGAGAATCATTCTCAAGGGAGCTGCCTCAGCAGCTCTCGCTGAGCTTCAGATAGCCTTCTCTATTCCCATCATGTTCAAAGAAGAAGAAATCACTTGTTAATTTATATGAAGTTAAAAACAATGCCTTTAGGAAACTCCAGCACTGTAAACTACAGGCTTCTATGGGATAATTATTCTAGAAGAAATTTGATGAGATAGTGATCTGACATGGTCAACTCTTCCTGTCTCTGTTTAAAGGTAAAGGGACCCCTCACTGTTAGGTCCAGTCGCAGACAACTCTAGGGTTGCGGCACTCATCTCTCTTTACTGGCCAAGGTAGCTGGCGTACAGCTTCCAGGTCATGTGGCCAGCATGACTAAGCAGCTTCTGGCGAACCAGAGCAGCACACGGAAACTCCGTTTACCTTCCTGCCTTCCTTACCTATTTATCTACTTGCACTTTGACGTGCTTTCAAACTGCTAGGTTGGCAGGAGCTGGGACCGGGCAAGAGGAGCTCACCCCACTGTGGGGATTTGAACCGGCGACCTTCTGATCAGCAAGCCCAAGAGGCTCAGTGGTTTAGACCACAGCGCCACCCACATCCCTTTACCTTTGTTTATTACCTCCCTATTCTATTCCTTGTGAAAAGTCTTTGATGGTTGCCTTTGGTGTGTGGTCTGCTGGCAAATGGCTAAAAGCATGTAGTGGCCAGTATGTGTCTTTGATGTAGGGCAGGGTGGCTCATAGCTGAGCCAGCATCTATAAAATATCTAGTTTTGGAGCATAGAAGTTCAGAACTTCAGCATAGACTGTTGGACCCAGTGCTATGCATCGAAGGCTACCTGGGATTCGCTTTGACGCTTCTTCAGGGCATTTCATGGGCAGATTTAAGTGCTGCTTGGTAATGTTTATTTTACTTACTGTTCAGAATAAAAACTGTAATCTTCTCACCCACTTGCCTTTGTATTGCTTCTGAAACTAATTTTAAAAGATCCATCATGCATTGGGCAAGACACAGAGTTAGAAAATTCCACTTACCAGTTTTACAAGTCGTCAGGACACTACGTTAGGTACATGAAGTGATGAATATAATGGAAAAGGCCTCATGCCAGACATACCAAAGAGATTGATTCAGGCCAATTACCTGCCAAACCCAGCTCTCCAATGAGATAAAAAGGGGGAACGCGCACGCGTGAGCTTCCCAGAGGATCCTTCCACCTTGGCTGTCCAGGAGTCTTGTCTCATCTCTCTCTGTCTCTCTCTGTTTTCCCTTCTTGCCCTGAGGAGAATTTTAGCACCTCTTCAGCTGTTATCCCAGGTAGCTGAACTAGCTTTAGCATGGTTTCGGTCTCCTGGGGAGGTGGTGCAGGCTTTGGACGTGCCAGTGGTGGCTTTGGCAGCGGAAGCCTCTATGGTTTAGGAGGTGGTGGTGGCTATGGAGCTGGCGCCGGTGGCATCAATGAGGTTACCATCAACCCAAACCTCCTGACACCTCTTAACTTGGAGATTGACCCCACCATCCAGAAGGTGAGGAAGGAAGAGAAGGAGCAGATCAAGACACTCAACAACAACTTTGCCTCCTTCATTGATATGGTAAGTTTCTCTCTGGATGCCATCCTAAAAACTTTACGCTACTTTAAAACAAGTTCCTGCCTGCTACTGTTTAAACAAGCTCTACTGACAATATAGGGCAGCTGTTTTCTTTCCCTGCTTACTATATCCTACCAACATTTCATTGCTAGAAATAGACACAGCCGTGTACAGTGGTAGTTCGGTTTTCAAAAGTCTCTGCTGATGAAAATTTTGGTTTTCGAATGCCGTAAACCCAGAAATAAATGCTTCAGTTTTTGAACATGTCTCGGAAGTCGAACATGCCATGCGGCTTCCGTATTGAGTTTTCCGTATTGATTGTTCGGTTTTCAAACATTTCAGAACTCGAACGGTCTTCCAGAACAGATTACGTTTGAAAACCAAGGTACCACTGTATTTGTAGAGCATACTTGCTTTCACATCATGGATCCTTTCCTGATGGTTGGTCAGAGATGGGGAAGAACTACAAATCCCATTATCCCTGGTTATGAACAATGGCAGCTGGGTATAATGGGAACCAAAGGCTCCGCACACCTGCTGTAGTTGGATCCAGTTTCATTCTCCTGGTGCAGTGCATTGGCACATGATGCAAGATCAAATTCTCTAACACTGAAGGTCTGGTTCTTCAGCTAAAACAATGGAAAATGTTTAGATAGCTTTGTGTACCTTGCATAGTGTTCAGCCTTTGCTTGTCTTGTGAGAAAGACCTAGAGATGATGAAATTTGAACAAGGTGCTTCCAGTTCATACCTCAAGCTCTTAAAATGCTTTATCCACTTGTGAAATATGTGAGAGTAAAGGAGAATTTAGCACGGGATTGCTAGGAAGAAATGAGAACATGAATAAAGATGGAGGTTGTAGTTGAAAGACCAGGTAGCCGTGCAACATATCAGACTCCACTGTTTGGTACCTACCAGCAGATGAGAGCCCAAACTTCACCATGCTTTTTTTTTTTTTTTAAAGCAAGCAATAGACACAATAAGATGCATGTGTCAAAAGGTAACACTTCCCGGTTTCATTCCTACATCTTTCCATTTATCCACCATCTGCAAATCTCATGGACCTTATGAATCATTTGATACTAGCCACTCTTTGAGCTGCTATTAATACTAACTCACTAGGTACAACTGCCAGCTTCCTGTAACATTTTCTATGTAAAGTATTTGCTGTGGCAATCTCTTGCAATCTATTTAAAAACAGAAGGGAAAGATGTCAGGATATTACCTCCTTTGAAGGTGGTATAGCTTAGCAACCCATATTTCAAGAGGGAAGCTGTTCCACAACAGGGGCTGCCACACTGAAACCCCTGCTTTAAGTTACTTGCACATACTGCAGCAATCTGACTGAAGGCAAAAGACTGTAAAATAGACAAATGAAAAGGAGTCTGTCAGTCTTCTCCTTAGCTGACTGCCGATGCTCTAAATGTGAAGCAAAATCTCAGTCAGGTGAAAATCTTATTTATTTTCGGTCACATGTCAAAAGTCAGTCTGGCTGGGCATCTTCTGAGGGCCCAAACTCCAGCAGTCCCCACCCATGACAAAAGCCCCCGAACCTCCTCTGCCTCCTCTTCTTCAGCATTGCAACCTGCCAGCGTTCACCCACCTTTCTCTCTGGCCCAAACGGTGGTGGAGGTGCTGAGAGAGAGAAGCAGTGGATGCCCCTGCCTACTTGCTTACTGGCTCTTTTCCAGGAAAGCAAGCGGGTGGCAGGTAGCAATGGGGGAGGAAGAAGGAGCAGATGATGACAGATGGCGAGGAGGTAGATTCATGGAGAGAGGGAGCAGGGCATGGAGAGTGTTCTTACCAGGGCCAACTTAAGACCTTTAGAGGCCCTAAACACTGAAAAGATTATGGTGCCCACCATGTGCAATTCAAAATAAAAATAATGCTAACCAGTACAATAATGTTTTAAACAAACAAAAAACATATGTTTATTGCAAACCATAAATCATAAAAGGAATTATAATCACTCTTAGCTTCAGCAAATATCAGTATTCAAACAGGAATGTGCCTACTTTTTTGCACATGGGTTCCATCCTTCTACTTTATTCTGGTGAAAGACCCAAAGATTAATGTGGCAGGTGACAGATGGTGATGGGAGGCTGTGAAATAGGTGGGAAGGTCTTTTCTTCCACTCATCCAGTGGTAATGAGTCACTCAATTTCCCCCTCCCTCCAACAAGTATGAAGAGGAGATCAACAAGCGCACAGGTGCAGAAAATGATTTTGTGGTGCTCAAGAAGGTGAGTGGGTTTCCATGAGGCAAGAACCTTGACTGAACTACATAACTGGGAAACAGGGGCAAAGCAACTGCTTATATAAATTTCTGAAAGCCTGGGCCACTCCCAGCCAACCTGACTGGCTGTCTAAACTTCCAAGTTGCGAATCACAACTCAGAGTTCAAGGGCCAATGGCAGAGGCCCCAATCCTGAAACGTTCTGTGATTGGACATCCTGTATCGAATGACAGCAAAGGATCTCAGAATCCTTAGTCCACATTCAAGCTCAGGCAAACACAGACTACTGAATTCATAACAGTAACTTCAGCACATTTGCCACAGAGTGATGGGGCCACCGCTTTAAACAAATGCATGCTTTAACCCTTGTACTTTTAGGGGAAACTTGTGGTTTCGTTTTGGCTCTCACATCTGCTGTGGTGTTCAGCCCTTTGATCTTTTTCTCTCTTTCCAGGATGTGGATGCTTCCTTTATGAACAAGGTTGAGCTGCAAGCCAAAGGGGATTCCCTGACTTATGAAATCAACTTCTCGAGAGCTATGTTTGAGGAAGTAAGAACTCATTCTAGTCTTTTCAGGGAGAAAGAAAGAAGACTGTAGCAACATGAACCAAAACCAGCTCTGGTTGACATTTTGCATCTTCAAGCATTGGTTGCTACCAACAAGTTCACTCTCTGGGCCTCTACTCAGATGGCATCCTAACAGAGAGGAAACCATCTCCTTGTGGCTTAATCCTACACTTCTCTGCTGAAGTCTAAATCAGGGATGGGAAATCTCTGGCGTTCCAGATATTGTTGGACTACAACTCCCATCACCCCTCACTATTGGCCATGCTAGCTGTGGCTGATGTCATCTGGAGTCTAGCATTATCTGAAAAGCCACAGGATTCCCCAACCCTGATCCTAGAGGGAAGGAGCTGTGCATCAGAGTGAATGCAGAAATCACATGACTATACTAGCCTTTGAAGGAATTGCATCATTTGTCCAGCTAGCATGAATCTTCTTTTCATATACAGTGGAATCTTGGTTCTCAAACTTAATCTGTTCCGGGAGTCTGTTCAACTCTCAGAACTGTTCGAAAACCAAGGTGCGGCTTCCGATTGGCTGCAGGAGCTTCCAGCACTCAGGTGGAAGCCGCGTTGCACATTCGCAAACCAGAACACTTACTTCCGGGTTTGCTGCGTTCAGGAGCCAGTGATACAGTGGTACCTCAGGTTACATACACTTCAGGTTACATACACTTCAGGTTACGGACTCTGCTAACCCAGAAATAGTACCTCGGGTTAAGAACTTTGCTTCAGGATGAGAACAGAAATGGTGCTCCGGCGGCACGGCGGCAGTGGGAGGCCCCATTAGCTAAAGTGGTGCTTCAGCTTAAGAACAGTTTCAGGTTAAGAATGGGCCTCCGGAATGAATTAAGTACGCAACCAGAGGTACCACTGTATTACTGGAAGGCCTTGAAACTAGACCACAAGGAATCAGTTCACACACTCTTGTGCTAACATGTGGATCAGGTCTGAATTCTGATTTTGCTTCCTTTTTAGAAAACATTCAAATTTTAAAAAGAACAAAAGTAATAATAATATACATCTCAATATAATAATGTTGCAAATATTATAATAAAAAGACACACTTATCAAATATGATTTAAAGAAAAGCAATAAGCCATCAAGCAAAAGCCAGATAATTCCATCAACCTTCTTTCTATGAATGCAGTTTTTAAAAGTAGTGAATAGAAGGAAACCATAGGCTTTCAAAATACCCAGTATTTTGCTGGCTTTTATTATTTTGTATCTGTCATAAATATAGGGGTTGCTCGTGCGTAAGTTGCCGCCACTCCTGGCTAGGTTGCCTTGTTAAACCTTTTCTGTCTGGACAGCCCTTCACTTCGTGGCTGCCTCAGTCGCTAGCAGAATCCGTCAGTGGGCGTTTCTTAAACCTTTTCCAGCATAAAAGCTGTTTGACCCCAAGTCTCCTCCTACTCTCCCTGCGCGGAAGTCTTCTGCGCAGGGAGGGTGTGGGTAGCGGAGGACCCGTGCTCTCCCCGCTGGTCTCCGGCGAGGAGTCCTGGAGCCCCCTCGCCGATCCCCCATCTGCCCCCCTTTATCCCTGGTGTTACGCTGATTTCCTTCCCCAGCTGATGAGCTGCCTCTCTCCCTGCTGGGCCCCTCTCCAGCATCGCTTGAGAGCCTCGCCTCCGCCTCTGGCTCCGATGTCAGTTCCCTGACAGTATCACAGTGCTGGAGTACCAAATAGGCTGTGTAGGCATAGGCATATGGGCCCCAAGCCTTTTAGGGGCCCTGAGACAACAGATCAAAAAAACCTTGATAGAAAATTGAAATCAAGCTTTCTTGGTTCAATGCTATCCCAGTAGAGCATGAGCACAATGGAGGTGGACTGCAATTTCAACTGCCATGCGGTCTCTACAGGGCTTAACCCGGCACTGCTAAATCAGTTTTGCCATTTCAGCAATTTTTACAACAGCATCATTGCTGTTCTGCTAGCGAAGCTGCCCTAGAAGTATACCTCTTGCTCACTACTGAAATCTTGTTTCTTACTTAATATGTTGCTCAGATGCCATAATAAAATACAATCAGGACTGAAAGATGAATGGATAGACAAAATACAAAGTTAGGCCTGACATCGAACCAACCAAGCACCAAAGAAATCTCTTGAGGTGACTGCATCCTCAATATTAGCAAGAATAGGACTTTTTTTTCCAAGCAGGGTTGCAGATTGTTCTAGGGCCGCTGTTCTCAACCAGTGGGTCGCCAGTGTCGGACTACAACTCCCATCATCCCTGAGCTCTGGCCTTGCTAGCTAGGGGTGATGGGAGTTCTAGTTCAACAACATCTGGGGATCCACAGGTTGAGAAAGGCTGTTCTAGGGTTTCACTTTTCCATCTAGTACTGTAGAGATGAGGGAACCCTCCAGACATTGCTAGACTACCACTCCCATAATCTCTGACCCGTGGCCATGCTGGCTAGGATGATGGCAGCTGCAGTCCAGCAACATCTGAAGAGCCAAAGGTTCCCCATCTCTGAAATAAGCTTCAGGCTGCAAAGTTTCCTTGCTCAGTGTGGACCAGTGCTTGAATGTGGTAGAGATGTGGGTGTCTTTCACCTTGGTAAGCCCTCTTTCTTCAACTTTTCCCCCATGTAGGAAATAGCCCAGTTGGTGGCCTACATTTCTGACACCTCTGTCGTTCTCCAAATGGACATCAACTGAAACCTGGACCTGAACAGCATCACTGTCGAGGGCAAGGCTTAGTATGAAGACATTGCCAAAAGAAGCAGGGCTGAGGCAGCATTGTTGTATCAAAGCAGGGTGAGCAGTTCTCAAGTGCTGGGGAAATGGGTTTGAAAGGAGGAGCCAGGGCTCTAAAGCCATGTATCTAGAGTGGTCATGTATCTTACTTTTACAGAAGACAGTCCCTGTTTGAAGAGCTGTTGGAGGATATTCCTGTACCTCAAGGCATCCTCTGTTTGAAAGGCTGTCTGATCTAACTCCATGTAAAGCTAAAGAACCCTAAGATAGGAAAACATGGAGGTCGTATCAGTTTACTGGCTTCATGACTTATGGCTCCTTGTAAGGAAAGGAGATATATTTCTGAACTATAATTGTAATCAAACCACCACAGCACTTGTCTTACTTTTGTGTTTATGTTGAAGTCTTTCCAATATCATGCCATCTCCATAATAAAAATGCTGTCAATCTAAGCTGTGTGCATTGATTCTGACCAGCGGCGTAGCGTGGGTTGTCAGCACCCGGGGCAAGGCAAGTAATTTGCGCCCCCTAACCCGGGGCAAGGTAAGTAATTTGCGCCCCCTAACCCGGGGCAAGGAAAGTAATTTGCGCCCCCTAACCCGGGGCAAGGCAAGTAATTTGCGCCCCCTAACCCCTAACCTGCCGCCGCTGCCAGCTTCTTCTTGCTGCTGCCTGGGCTGGTCTGGTGTGGTTCTCTCCCGCGCTCAGCGCTGCGCTGGGCGGCCGCTGCACTGTCCCTCCCCCAGATAGTCCCTCGCTCTCTCTCCGCACCGCACGCCTGGCACCCACCCCCTCCACAGTGGGCGGCGACCCAGCGGCTCGGATCGGATTCGCACAGCCAGCACTGCAGTGAGAGAAAGTGAGTGAGCCAGGTAGGGGCAGAGAGCTGCGAGTGCGAGTGCGCCCCCCCCAGATGTTGCGCCCGGTGCGGCCGGCCCCCCCTGCACCCCCCACGCTACGCCACTGATTCTGACTGTGTGGGGCTCCTTTCATACAACTTGCCTTTAGGTGGAATTTCATTTGCACAAGAGACCTTAATTGGTCTATGAGCTCACCAAAGTTCTGCTCTGCAGCTTCTTTGAAAAAGAAACATGAAGGCTAAACTCGGAACCGTTATGAACATAAGATAGTATTCAACCAACTTGAGTAAAACTTAGTTGAATACCATCCAAAGGAAGCTGCCTCATACTAAGACCACTGGTCCATCTAACTCACTGGTTTTCAGTGATGGGGTAGAACCCACTAGTGGGGCACAGCCTGATCCAAGATGAATTGCAACAGGAGCACCAAGACCATGCAAATATATGGTCAGTAATGGGCCTTGGGATCTCAAATTTCAAATTTCAACAGCAGTGTGGGATCTCAAATTTCAACAGCAGCAATGATAAAATTCTGCGCCCCTCTGCCTCTCACACTCCATTCTAAATCATAGTTGCAGCTCCATACCCAGGGAGACCAAACCAGCTGCTCTCCCCTAAATCTGCCTCTGGTAAAAGACAAAAATATGGGTCCCGAAATGCATGTTGGTTCTGAGTCTGAAAAGGCTGAAGATATCTGACCTAGCTCATTGGCTGGCAGCAGCTGTGCAGAGCTTCGGACAGGAGTCTTTCCCAGCCCTACTGGAAGATGCTGAGAATTGAACCTGGAATCTTCTGCATGTAGATCAGATCCTCTACTGCAGAGCTATGGCCCCCACGCTAACTGGAGTAGTAAACTTTGTTTATTCAAAAATGTTTTTGAGAATGAGTAGAATGCCCTTCCTTCGTCAGCACTGAAGAGGGATTTTCCTAAGGTCCATAGCAGCGGAAAAAATTAATTTCCCCACCGTGCCTGTTCTGATCACACTAATTATCATCACACATGCACACACCTACACCTGATGCAATTTTCAAAACTTGCACATGGAATGCAAATGTGCATTTAATGCTCCCTGCCATGCCTCCAGTTGAAGGTGCTTTGATATGCTCTGAGAAAACCAGCTGCAAAGAAATCCTTTAAAACAATGCAGCTCAAATTCTGATTCTACTGTTAGCTGCAGAAGACATAAAGTCAGTGGCGGACCTTGGGCTCTCAAATTTCAGCAGAGCCTTGTATAATGCCAAAATTCGGTGTACCCACCACCTCTCACAATCCACTCTAAAGAATAGTTGCAGTGCCCCTGAGGTTCTGTGCCCAGTGCAACCAAACTGGTAAAGGTAAAGGGACCGCTGACCATTAGGTCCAGTAGCAAACGACTCTGGGGTTGCGGCGCTCATCTCGCTTTATTGGCCGAGGGAGCTGGCATACAGCTTCTGGGTCATGTGGCCAGCATGACTAAGCCGCTTCTGGCGAACCAGAGCAGCGCACGGAAATGCCATTTACTTTCCTGCCAGCGCGATACCTATTTATCTACTTGCACTTTGACGTGCTTTTGAACTGCTAGGTTGGCAGGAGCTGGGACCGAGCAACAGGAGCTCACCCCATCGTGGGGTTTGAACCGCCGACCTTCTGATTGGCAAGTCCTAGGCTCTGTGGTTTAACCCACAGCACCACCCGCGTCCCAAACTGGTAGCGCTCCCCCAAATCTGCCTCTGATAAAGTGGGAAGGTTCAGTTGCAAGATCTGCACCATGTCATTACACACGCCACTCAGACAGTTAGGATGAGTGAAATGTCAACGTCAATTTCTCTCCGTTTCTCATTTTTCCGATCTTAAGTTCAGGTCACCACATTTCCATATCAGTTTGCACATCTTTTTGGCACCATTCATCATAAATTTAAATGTTTGTGTTTCAGAATTTGTCTTTTCTACAAACCATAAAACTCGGGGCCTCTTCATACGTTCTTTTTTGTACATGTAGGATTCTTGTTAAAGTGTCCACCTAAAAGTGTGAAGGGTGAATATAAGAAATAGTCATTTGACAGCATGTGCACCATATGAGTATGCTCATCACAGAGTTGGGGTTGGCTGCTGAGCAAATGGATGGTGGTGAACACAGTTTTGTTGCCAGCTGGAGCATTTAAAGGCCAGCCTAGTTTCGGATTGGTAAGACTTCTCAGTCAAGAACATTGAGGGAGGCATATTACTCTGTCTCTTGTATTTTCATCTTGTGATGGCTGGTAACTAATAGCAAAGCAGGGATTCAGGATGGAGAAATAAACACTAAAATACTGATGAATTACGGCGCAGAAATGTGGCAAAATAAACAGAAAAAAGAGAAGACGAAAAGTTAGCTACCTTGGAGACATTTGGTCCAAAGGCAATTTACAGACATTTCCAATAAATAAATGAACGGAATATGATGCCATCAGAATATGATGCCATCGCAATGTGAGTTTTCAGTGCCCTTTCCACTTCCTTGGCTGCTGTTTGCAGGGATGATCAGAATTTCAGCTTGATGGCATAGCAAGTGTTTGGCTCTATCAAAAATTACATGGGACGAGGATGTGCAATGGAGTCAGTGTTCATGTGGGACTGCCAACCCAGACATATAGTTCCAGCCACGCTTCCTTTGCTCAAGTGGGTCCAAACAGTGCCATTTTTGTCTAGAAAAAGAGGTGCCAGAACTCTCCACGAATACCTCTCTTGTTTTCTTAGAATGGCAATGGAGAGGTGCCAGTACCCACCTGAGAGGTGCTGGAACTGAGTTCCTGTGAGTTCCCCCTTTAAAAAACCTGGACCCAAGGTAAATCAACAAGGAGCTCCAGAGTTACATTGGCAGAATCTGAATTCAGATTTTGACCACATCTGTTCATCACCAGCTAAGCATTCTCACAGGCTTATGTATCAACATTTGCTTTTTCTCACCTGTAAAATGAATCAAGTGCCTCTTTCCTAACTCTGAACATGCTGAGGACATCAAAAGAGTCATTTTCTCTTGCTTTTCTCTTTTCATCATCACTATAAAAAGTGGAGGCCTTCAAGTCTAGTTTTTATGGAACTGGATTTCCCTGCCGTTAAATTAGAAGTTACGGCAGACGTGCTTTTAAGTATAGCTCAGATCTCTGCTCAGCAAAACGGGCAAGCATGCTGGTTAACCAACACCCCAAGCTAATAAACGGGATGTAAATGGAGATTTGGGGCTGATGAGAGCTGCCCATCCCGCAGATAAAAAGAGGAGAAAGTTCCAGTTCTGGTTTCAGAGTGAGGGTACCGCCTGTGGATAACTTCCTTGCCTGCTCCGGCACACAGAGACACAAGGCATCATCATCCTTCATTCCGCTGTCTGTCAGCTGCTATGTCTTGCCAGTCATTCTGTGCTAGTACTAGAGGGGGTGGTGCAGTCAGGAATTACAGCTCATCCTCAGCTGTGGTACCAAGGAATGTGAAACGCTACAGTGCCGTTAGCACCGTCTCATACAAAGGGGGCAGCAGTGTGGGCCCCCGAGGGCTAGGATTTGGTAGCAGAAGTCTTTCTGGTGTTGCGACCTGCAGGCCCAGAATAGCTATTGGCAGCTACCGCCCAGTGAGATATGGATATGGTCTGGGGGCCGCTGGTTTTGGACATGGCTATGGTACTTCCAGCTTTGGCTACAGGGTTGGTGGAGTCAGTGGGACTTGCTCACCAGGCATTGCGCCTGTCACGGTCAACCCTCACCTCCTCCAGCCTCTCCACCTGGACATTGACCCCAACATCCAAATGGTGAAACAACAGGAGAAAGAGCAGCTAAAGACCCTCAACAACAAATTCGCTTCATTCATTGACAAGGTGAGTCATCAGATGGCGGTCTCCACTCTAAACAACTCGTATAGATATTTCAGTGGATGGAGTTAAAGTTATTCGTTAGCCAAAATCTTCAGCAAGAAAGCATGCGGTTGGTAGTATTCAACTAAGTTTTACTCAGAGTATACACAATGAAATTAATGGACCTAACGTATTGATTTCAGCAGGTCTACTCTGAGGAAAACTTATTTTAATAATAATAATAATATATTATTTATACCCCCGCCTATCTGGCTAGGTTTCCCCAGCCACTCTGGGCGGCTTCCAACAAAATATTAAAATACAATAGTCCTTCATATATTAAAAGCTTCCCTAAACAGGGCTGCCTTCAGATGTCTCCTAAAAATCTGGTAGTTGTTTTTTCCTTTGACATCTGGTGGGAGGGTGTTCCACAGGGCGGGCGACACTACTGAGAAGACCCTCTGCTTGGTTCCCTGTAACTTCGCTTCTCGCAGTGAGGGAACTGCCAGAAGATCCTCAACGCTGGACCTCAGTGTCCGGGCAGAACGATGTAGGTGGAGACGCTCCTTCAGGTATACTGGACAGAGGCCATTTAGGTCTCGGCGGCCGCTCCCAGTCACCAGTCTAGCTGCCGCATTCTGGATTAGTTGTAGTTTCCGGGTCACCTTCAAAGGTAGCCCCACCTAGAGCGCATTGCAGTAGTCCAAGCGAGAGATAACTAGAGCATGCACCTCTCTGGTGAGACAGTCTGCAGGCAGATAGGGTCTCAGCCTGTGTACCAGATGGAGCCGGTAAACAGCTGCCCTGGGCACAGAATTGACCTGTGCTTCCATGGACAGCTGCAAGTCCAAAATGACTCCCAGGCTGCGCACCTGGTCCTTCAGGGGCACAGTTACCCCATTCAGGACCAGGGAGTCCTCCACTCCTGCCCGCCTCCTGTCCCCCCAAAACAGTACTTCTGTCTTGTCAGGATTCAACCTCAATCTGTTAGCTGCCATCCATCCTCGAACTGCCATCCATCCTCCAATACCATCAAGTCATGTCCCAATGGGGAGAAGAGAATGAAACCATGTTTTACAGCAGAAACATCTTGACATGGGAATATATGGGTAATTCATAATTCCCTAGTAAGGAGCCTTGCTGACTTAAAACACATTGGATGTTACTTTTGGACTGATGGTTATTTTAAAACTCTCAAAGCGAGCCAGCTTAGCCCAGCGGTACAACTGACCAACGCATTGCTTGGATCCCCCAATTGCTTCCAGCAGTTTGAGACCCACAGGCGCTGCCTGGCTTTTTTAAAAAAACAACCACAAAACAAAACACAACAACTCTCAAAGCACCCTTGGGAGGAAGAACATTAAGTGGCCTTATCCATCTAAATCAGGGATGTGGAACCCAACAGAGGCTACTGGACTTCAGCCCCAGCCAGCAAGATCAATTGTTAAGGATGATGGGAGTTGTAGTCCAACAACACCTGGAGGGAGGGCCACAGGTTCCTGCTGTGTTGCCAGGGTCTCAGATAGTATGTTTTACCCACTTTGCTTACCTAAGGATGATCCTTTAAATTGATATGTCAGGAATTGAGCCTGGGAACTGCCACATAGAAAATACTTGTTCTACTACAGAGCTATGATTCACTGTTACTTTCTGTTGTGCTACAGTCTCTCTTCCTCTACTTTCTGTAATTTTGTGGTATGGCCCTCTTGGTCTTCTCTGAGACCAATTCCACGTTGGTGCTTCTAGGGAGGTGGGTTAGCATGTGGCAGCAGTTGTAGCCCAATTGCCTTAGGGTGCAAGTGGTTGCTTAAGGTTAAACCTAAGCAATTAACACCTGTATTCCCAGTGACCATGGTTCTGGGGGGTTCCTTGATCCACCCTGTAAAGGGTGTGATACAACCTTAGCATAAAGCTATGGCATTTTCACAAGAGTAGAGATGTGAGGAACTTGAACTTTGAGTCTTCAGCACGCAAAGTAGTAGAATGGGTTCTACTACTTAATGCCAAACAAATTCAACTCCCAATTTCAGAATACTGGATTTCTGTACACACTGGCCAAAATATTAGATCCTACAGCACTGGAAGAAAGCTGGAAATCTATCACCCAAATTGATACATTTGGAGGACACATTCCAGTATTCTGTACAACTTTGTCCCATGGGGAGACACAGAGCTTTTCCAAATGATTGGTGGGTAGGGAAATGTTCTCATGCAACTATTGGGTTGGGCATGGAGATCAGGAATGAGGGGAAGTGTGTGTGTATATATATAGCTTGCAGCAATTCAGTATGCCTAAGCAGTAGACTATAAACATAGTAAAGGTGGTGATAAAATGTCAAGCTAGGATCTCAAAGAACAGGGTCCAAATTCCCACTCAGCTATGATGCAGCCTAGTTCTGGGCACCACAGTTTAAGGACATTGACAAACTGGAACACATCCAAGGGAGGGCAAGAAACATTTGGATGGGGCCTGGAGACCAAGTCCTATGAGGAAAAGTTGAAGGAGTTAGGTATGCTTAACTTAGAAAACAGATTGTGGCCACATCCATTCCACATATTTAGGGCACTATTATACCACTTTAACGGGATGCGGGTGGCGCTGTGGGTTAAACCACAGAGCCTAGGACTTGCTGATCAGAAGGTCGGCAGTTCGAATCAACGCAACAGGGTGAGCTCCTGTTGCTTGGTCCCTGCTCCTGCCAACCTAGCAGTTCGAAAGCACGTCGAAGTGCAAGTAGATGAATAGGTACCGCTCCTTCAGGAACGTAAACGGCGTTTCCGTGCGCTGCTCTGGTTCGCTAGAAGCGGCTTAATCATGCTGGCCACATGACCCTGAAGCTGTACGCCGGCTCACTCGGCCAATAAAGCGAGATGAGCGCCGCAACCCCAGAGTCGGTCACGACTGGACCTGATGGTCAGCGGTCCCTTTACCTTTATACCACTTTAACAGTCATGGCTTCCTCTAAAAATGTTCGTTACAAGTGCTGAGAGTTGTTAGGAGAATCCTATTCCCCTTCACATTTCCCAGAGTTCCCTGGCCGGAGGGATTTATTCTTAAACCACTCTAGCAGCACCTCAACACACCAAACTACAGTAAGTTATTTGAGATGTGGCTGCAAAGTCAAGTTTGAGTAGGTAGGGTCTGAGTGTTTCATATCCTCCATTATCCTGTCTCCATGCTGGAGGAAGATATAACTATGGTTATATATGGCAGGAAGGAGAAGGGTTGTTGAAATAGGACACATGCAGATAAATATATAGGGTTTTGTCTACTTTCATCATAACAACAGTTGTTTTGTGGGCGGGGGGAGCTAGGTCCGCTTCTTGGAGCAACAAAACAAGGTGCTGGAGACAAAATGGAGCTTACTGCAAGAGCAGAAACGAGTCAGGAGCAACATAGAGCCCTTGTTTGATGGGTTTATCAATAACCTGAGGAGGCACCTGGAGGGTCTCGCATGCGACCGAAGTAAGCTGGAGACTGACCTGACCAACTCAAGAGATGTACTGGAGGATTACAGGAGAAAGTAAGTGGCATATATTTATCTGTGACACAGCATGTTTTCTGAAGTTGCATAAGCTTCATTTGAAGAAGAAAAAGCTTTTTTTTGTGGGGTATTCTACTACACACGAACACCATACAAACAGGCCCTTAATATATGCAGCTCTTCAAAAGTTTAGTGACACATAGCAGATTGAAATAAATTAAATCTCTTTATTGCCAGTCTGAGTCAACATAGATTTTGCTTACGCAAAGTTTGAAGATGTTGCTTCTGTGAAGTATTCCCTCAGAAGGAGCCATTTTCAAGGTCTCTGATAAGCCCCACTTGCCGCTGTTTCAGCATGCATAGTTGATTGATCTGTATGCACTGAGGCTAAACGCACTAAGCTATCCTGCAAAGACTTCACCCTTCCCTCCAGGACTTCATTCTGCAAAGACTTGTGATGTTCTGCATTCGATGCACAACACAAGGCTTATGCAGTGCAGCATAGATATCTGTTGGGTCTGCATATTTTAGTTCCAGGGTGTGGTCTGAAGGTTCATGAGTCTGAGTAGGTCTGAAGACCTGTCTGGGTGACCACCTGGAAACCACATCGCTGCTTCCTTGGGTTCTCATGATGGAAGGAAAGCAGGATAATAAGAAAACTAAATACATAAGTGTGATTGATCCCTCTCCCTGGCTCCTGTGTGCTGATGAGAGGTTCAGGAGGCCCATTCCCCACTTTCATGGCTTATCCTCTTCCTATCTTTACTACAGGGATAGCTTGACTTGAGAACCAGTGGTCCTCCATGAGCTGTTGCACTCCAGCATGGACGATGGTCAGGGATGATGGGAGCTGTGATCCAACTACTTCTGGGGGGCCATAGGTTCTCCTCCCCCCCCGGTCTAAAAAGGATCCATATTCCCATGCTAGGTTAAAGAACTTGACCCTTAGCCAAAGCTACATTCCCAGTCTCGTACAAGAAATTAGATGATAGCTCTGCCAAAGAACATAGCACTGGTACATCTTGATTTATTGAACTTTGCAGAAATTGTGTTCTTTTACAAGTTGAAGGACTGGAAGAGCTGTTGCTGTTGGGTTGGAGATGAGGCTGCAGGAACCTGTACCCGTCACACAGCGACTCCTGCTGCACCTTACAAGGACACTAGTGCAGCTACAGGCAGCCCACCCATTTAATAGACCACAGTATAGTGTAAACATAACTTTTATATGCACTGGGAAACAAAAATAATAATGTGTGACTTTATTGCAATATACACTGTGTTGCAGTGGTCTGGAACCAAACCCCCAATATCTCCAAACGATGCCTGTATTTCTTTGAACTATAAGAAAAACCAATTTGCTGTGCTGTTCAAATGTCACAGACTTTTTACAGTGTAAGAATAGGGCCAGTTTTGGACTGTTGCTATTTTGCAGTATGAATCAATCGTGCGCCAGCAAATTCAAGTTGCACAAATAAGGTGGATTTGGTCCTCCTGGCCAACAGATCTGCTTCACACATAATATGTAGTAAGGAAACTGATGGGAAAATGCACTGGGAAAGGTGGGATAAAGACGATGTTGAGTGACGTCATATACCCACAGTGCAAACAACTCAGAAGGAATGTCAATATGCAGTGGGAATCGTATAAGCTCTGCACAAATCTTGTGCAATCAGATCAGGTTGAGTGCCCCATGCACGTTGCCTTGTCCAGAATTGATCCACTTTCTCACCAGGTATGAAGAAGAGTGCAATGGACGAACCCGTGCTGAGAATGAATTTGTAACACTTAAAAAGGTAAGTGATGCACATCTTGATTGAAATAAATGAGCATGGGGCAGAGGAAGCTGTCTTGTACCAAGTCAAACCATTGGCCCATGTCATCTACACTGACTGGCAACAGCCGTGCTTGGGTTTCAGGCAGAGGACATTTCCAACTCCACCTGGTCGATCGTGCCGTGGATTGGATTTGGGACCTTCTGAAGATGCTCTAGCACTGTGCTATGGCCCCTCTCCAGTGACATCTCTTCTTTCTGGTGTTGGATATAAAGAATGTCCATTTACTAGTTATTTATCTAAAGGCAGAGAGGTGACTGGAGGTCCTCTTTCCAAGTTTCAGCATTGTAAAGATTGGTTTGCAGCCTTTTGAGAAAAATATGTCAGGCACAGCCAGTGATTTTCCAGCCTGGGGGAACGCAGGGGTACGCATACCCCTAAACACTTTGTGAATCTAAGTTTGGCCTCATTGAGGGGCAGTATTTCAATATGGGTAGGAAAATGAGAGTACCCCTAAACATTTTTTTTATATAAAAAAAGCAGTGGGCGCAGCCATGTTGGGATGCTTTGTGAGGTGACTTTCTCGGTCTGTCTAATGGTAGGACCAGTCCTGGAGTACAGCAGAGGGGGGAGCAGAATTGCATGTTGAGTATAAAGGTAAAGGGACCCCTGACCATTAGATCCAGTCGTGGCCGACTCTGGGGTTGCGGCGCTCATCTCGCTTTATTGGCTGAGGGAGCCGGCGTACAGCTTCCGGGTCATGTGGCCAGCATGACTAAGCTGCTTCTGGCGAACTAGAGCAGCGCACAGAAATGCCGTTTACCTTCCCACTGGAGCGGTACCTATTTATCTACTTGCACTTTGATGTGCTTTCAAACTGCTAGGTAGGCAGGAGCTGGGACCAAGCAATGGGAGCTCACCCCGTCGTGGGGATTCGAACCGCTGACCTTCTGATCAGCAAGTCCTAGGCTCTGTGATTTAACCCACAGCGCCACCCACGTCCCTCATTTTGAGTATACAGACAGGCAAATAGATTGGAGAATAAGATGGTAAGTGCAGGTAATGGGGAAGTATCTAAAGAGGTACACAGTCAAGAATCTAGCTGCTGCCCAGGTTAAAAAGCAAAACAAAACAGGCTTCACCTGTGATGATTCATAGCTAGGCCATAAGGAACCAATGAGGTCCTAAAGCCATGTTGAGACAATTCTAGCCCTCTCCAGACAGAAGATGATACTTGAGGGCTGAGCCAAAACTTCTTTCCTGAGCATGAAGAGCAAGATGGTTCTTCCCCAAGGAGCCAACCAGATTGGCAGGTGTATCTGACTTCAGCACTGGTGAAAGGAAAGTCCCCTCCACGGCACAAGAGGAGACTGAATTGCATTAAATGGTCTGATTCAACAAGGGTCTTTTCTCTAGTGAGAACTGAGCATGCTCAGGGGCCATGGGGTGTTGATTGGGTATTGAAGGGGGAAAATGGAATGGAGTGGCTGAAATCCTAAACAGCAAGCACTCTACACTGTCAGAAGTCCCACTTGTATCTGCTTCAAACAGGCTTCCTGCTCTGCTGCATGAAATACTGGGTATGGGTGGGCCATTATCAAAGTACTCTACCAATGGCCCACTGTTGTGTTCTGGGAAATTGTAATTTAAAAGCACCCCGTCTTACCATATGTTTAACTGGTCCCTAGGATGTTGACTGCATATACATGAACAAGGCTGACCTGGGAGCGAAAGTGGAAAGCTTAATTGAGGAGATCAACTTTCTGAGATGCTTGTACGAGGCGGTAATGACATTTCCTAATCTGAAATACACATTGTAGCCCACTTTTTATTGATGAAGTGGGGAAAGTCTATATTCCTTTAAACAGCCACAGCAACAATGAGAATGTATGGTAATAAAAGAGGGGGAAAGTCTAAGGTTAGCCAGTATACAGAGGCATTTTGACATATGTCCAATGAGCCCATTTGATTTTTCAGAAGCACAACCAAACTTCAGGTATGTTAAGTCAATGCATAGTATTCAATCTTATGCAGTTGGAGCTGATCACACACACACACACACACACACACACACACACACACACAGAGTGAAAACTGGCAATCCACAGGCCAGATCCAGTCTGTCTTGTTTGAGACAGAAGTTTACTGGAGTCTCCCAGGCAAGCATGGAAGAAGTCCAAGATAGGCCAGTCAGGACCATAGACTGCCCACTGCAGTACCTGATTACAAGTTCAAACTTGATGCAGGCAAATTGACACCCAGAGCGTTTGGAATGTCTCCCTGGAATAAAGCTGGAGCAAAGTGCAATCTTCAAGTTGTCTTGCTGTCTGAAGAGTTCCTCACGCTCCATCTTCTGAGGGAAAACTGACAGGCACTGCCTCCTCCATTGGAGCTGGGAAACTTCCTTATGCCCCTGGATGTGGCGTGATAGTGGAGGGGTGGCTCCAGAACTGCAGGACATTCTGTGGGCAAATAATGTGAGTCGGAAGAGCGATAGGGTTACCTCCTCAAGCAGAGAGGATGGAGGCATCACCAGACCTAAGTTCCCCTACTGCAAGGGGTCTCTGGTGTGGAGCTTTATCTGGTCTCTGATCACTTCATTACATTTTAATTCAGGTGTGCTGAAGGGTTTTTTTAGTATTCTTCTCCCGCCACCAACCCCCTTTCTTATGCAGCCCTGTGCCTTGCTGTGTATTCCACATCAGTCTGGTTGAATTCCCCAATGGCAAAGAATCTCTTTAATAATTCCTGGAGCCTTTCAGGAAGTAAAGAGTGGCTAACCAGTTTTGGGCCCAAGAATTCACCCATGGCCAAACTTCAGGCAGGATGGGCACATGCCAGCAGTTGATGTGGCCAAAAGGGGGTGTACCCATCACATATTCACATGTATTTTCTTGCACGCACGCACGCACGCACACAGGCAGAGACAAACATACACAAACAAACACAGAAGCACTCAGCTTTCCTTCCTCAGCTGATTCATACAGAACAGCTGAGGAGGCAGGGCTGTCACTGCCCTCTCTGCTCATCAAATGTTTGATCTGAATCAAGGCTCTGGGCTCCACCCACCACTGTGTCTGCTTTAACACTCCTCCCCGTTTTGCTGCAGCCAGCAAAAATGCTGGGATATTGGGGGTGGGTGGGTACATCAAGCCGTTGACCTGGGACTTAGTCACACCTGACTTATTCCATCCCAACATATGTGGATCCCATACTGCTATGTCATGCAAATGAAATCCAAGATGGGACTGGTTTGATCCAGTCCCCCAGGCCTAGCTTCTGAATAAGAGAGTGGCCCTTGAGAATACAGAAAATGGTCATCTAATAATAACATACCCTCTAACATTTCTCCAAGGAAAATAGGAGACCTTATTCAATATTAATAATGATTATGATGATGATGATGATGATTTTACTATTTATACTCCGCCCATCTGAGCGGATTGCCCCAGCCTCTCTGGGCGGCTTCCAACATATATAAAAACATAACAAAACATTAACCATTTTATAAGAAACCTTCCCTATACAGGGCTGCCTTTAGATGACTTGGGGGCAGATAACTCCATACTCTCCAACATTTATCCAATGAAAATAGGGACATCCTAAGGAAAAGTGGGACATTCTGGGATCAAATCATAAAAAAGGACAGCTTCTGTAAATCTGGGACTGTCCCAGGAAATTAGGGACACTGTAATAACAGGTGAGAGAGGAATCTCATACCTAGCTTCTTACAGGAACTCCAGGAACTCCATGCCTGCATCTCAGATACCTCTGTTATTGTGCAAATGGATAACAGCCGAGCCCTAGATCTGGATGACATTATTGCTGAGGTCAAAGCCCAGTATGAAGACATCGCAAACAGGAGCCGCTTTGAGGCAGAGTCATGGTACCAGTGCAAGGTGAGATTTAGATTTCTCTGGGAGGAAAGGATAGTTGATAGCAGAGAAAGTTCACAACCAAAATCACTAGCAGCTCCTGGAGCATTGTTGAAATATTTTCTGTCTTGATGGCTAAGATAATGCCGTTCACAGGTGCTATCAGATAGATGCTGATTGCATTGTTGATGTTTAAATACAAACTTTTTTTTAAAAAAAGATGATGTTTTAATAAAGCTTGGTGTTTTTTTTGTTTTTAAAAAAGGTCTATAGGAAGATTGGTGTGTTTTAAAATGAGATGCAATGCATGGTTAATTGTTGTCTACCATGAAAATTACTGAAACTTCAGTGAACTTTAGTAAACCGTGGATTATTAAGAGGGAAGAGTTGCTTGGATAATTATGAAGTCTGACTGCTCCAGAAGGTATTTCACATGTCAAGTTTTCTTTCTAAGTATGAAGAGATGAGGGCAACAGCTGGCAAGCACTGTGACAACCTACGTGACACAAAGAACGAAATCATGGAGTTGAACCGTGTGATACAGAGACTGAAGGCTGAAATTGACAGTGCCAAAGGGAAGGTAACTCTGGGCAACTTTTGTGTGGGTGTCTGCCACAATTATACCAGTTTGTGCCTGGAAGAAATTCCTGATAAGCACAGTGAGCTGAGGAAAAATATGAAGGCTGGGCAACCTCACCCTCCAATTCTTCATGCTATTTGTGGGCAGGAAAATTGAGGGGTGTGCTTTGCGGAATATTGTTGGCATGGGATGTGATATTCGTTTCTCAATAAATAATCTTCTGGGAATTAATGCTGAAGAAACTCTATTGTTTGTTTATATTGATGAAAGCAAAGGGTGAAGGCAAGAGGACTGGAAGGAGTAGGAGCCATAGCATCTATTAGCTAATAAGCAGGCACCGGACAGATCCAGAGCTACCTAACTTCAGCAAGGTTGCAGCTTCGCGTCCTTTCAGATCACACATTTGGGACTATACTGACAGAAAGAAGAAATATAGTCAATTTTTTAAAAAACTAGCGAAAGCCTGATCAACTTTGGGTTAACTACCCCGAAACCTCCCACAGATATTTCACCTGAGCAGAATCCTCAGAATTGATTTCCAGTTTTGCTCTAGACAAGATTTGGGGGGATCTTCATGTTTCCTGCTATAAAGTGTATAAATGAAGTGCCTGGCGCAACAGACAGCCTTGATTTGAATTGTGTAATTCTTGCAAAGATGATACAATAGCTGCCTCTCTGGGGTCTCCAGAACTCACATACTTCAATGTGAAGAGTTTTAGGTTCTAATATCAGTCACTCTCATTACAGTCCCTCTACAGCAGGGATGGGGAACCTCAGGCCTGGGTAAAAGCTCAGGCAAAAGTAGCCCTCCAGCCTTCTCCATCTGGCCCTCAGGACTTTTCCCAGGCCACATCTGCTCCCTGACTATGCTTTGCATCCTGCTTAAGATTCTTTGGCCTGACTTGAATGTGTCCTTGAACTTTTGGATGCCTGGATGGAGGATACAGAGGGGTGTGTGAATGTGCATAGAAACTACTGTACAGAGATAAAATTTACACTCCTTGTGTTAAGTTGTGGGTGAACATATCAGACGACACAGCGATTCTTCAAACAGCTCTTGTTTATTCACAGGCCAGAACAGAACTGAACTGAAGGGTTCAGTCAGCCTGCTTATATAGAGCTCCAGTACAACGTAACTGTAACAATTTTCTAAAACTATCCAATCACTGAACGTCACTTTCGATCCCTTATTTGCATAACTATCTACAGTATCCCCCTGCTGGCCCAGGGTGAGAACTTCAGTACATAACACCTTGCACAACCCTTTTTTGCCTCTGTCTCCATCCACCACTGTTTCCCAGAAGGGAATGTCGTCCTCGGGCTGGAAAAAACTCCTTTAGAACTTTAGCCCTAATGTCCAATTTATCCATGGTAGCTTAAATTGTTCAGCCCAACTGATGAGAATGTGACAGGACTATGTCTCTGGGTTTTGCCTCTGCAGCGCAGCAAACTGGAGGCTGCCATTGCAGAAGCAGAAGATCGTGGAGAGATGGCTCTCAAAGATGCTAAGTGCAAGCTAACAGAGCTAGAAGATGCCCTGATGAAGGCCAAAGCAGACATGGCCCGACAGCTGCGGGAATACCAGGAGCTCATGAATGTCAAGCTGGCCCTGGATATTGAGATTGCCACCTACAGGAAGCTGTTGGAAGGAGAGGAGAGCAGGTGAGTTGATTGTTTCGATGCAAGGTGCACACACTGGGTTGGATCCAGAGATAGTCACATGTAGAATAGGTCTGCTGAAGTCACTGGGACTTTGGCTAGTCATTACAAACAAGTCCCATAGATTTCCTATACCAGGGATGCGGGTGGCACTGTGGGTTAAACCACAGAGCCTAGGACTTGCCGATCAGAAGGTCAGTGGTTCGAATCCCCACAAAGGAGTGAGCTCCCGTTGCTCGGTCCCTGCTCCTGTCAACCTAGAAGTTTGAAAGCACGTCAAAGTGCAAGTAGATAAATAGGTACCGCTCTGGCGGGAAGGTAAACGGCGTTTCTGTGTGCTGCTCTGGTTCACCAGAAGCGGTTTAGTCATGCTGGCCACATGACCCGGCAGCTGTACGCCGGCTCCCTCGGCCAATAAAGCGAGATGAGCGCCGCAACCACAGAGTCGGCCACGACTGGACTTAATGGTTAGGGGTCCCTTTACCTTTTTATGCCAGACTAGCCAACATGGTGTCCTCCGGATGTTGCTGGGCTCCAACATCCACCAGCCCCAGCAAGCTTGGCCAATGATCAGGGATGATGGGAAACTGTAATCCAGCAACAACTGGAGAACCACATGTTGGCTACCTCTGACCTTATCTCAGCATGACCCAACCCTTGAGGGCCACCATGTGGAAACTGATTTCAACTGCAACATGTGGTGAGCCACATGAACCAAGACAAGGGGGGATCACTTCAGTTCAGAATTCAACATCCATGATACAATGGAAATATGAGACTTTTCCATTCTCTCTGAACAGGTTGTGTGGTGAAGGGGTCTGCCCCGTGAATATTTGTAAGTCGTACTTTGCTTTCTATATTTTCACCTTTGTTATGGATCTTCTGTGAGTTTTGAACTAATGAAACCTGTGTTGTGTTTCCTTGTTATTGCTGCAGCAGTGTGTCGGACCCAGGGAGGAGCTGTGTATGATTCTGATCCTTGTATCGGAGGAGGATATGCTTCGAGCAGCAGGACCATAGTCCGAGGTGGAGGGATTGTTGGAAGAAGCATCATGGCTGGTGGCAGTGAACTGGGTGCCCCTTGCCTATCAGTTGGGGCACACAGTGCGGGAAGTGCAAAAAGCTCTAATGTCAAATTTGTGTCCACTTCCACTTCTTTTAGAACAAAATATTGAAACGAAAACAAAAAGGAGCATTCTGAAAGGGGAACTCGGTGCTTCAGCGGGGACACCTAAGCCTTCTAGAAGAGCATTTAGGGCTACTCTGCATACTCCTTTCTTTAGCCAGGTATGCACACCTGGTAGGGATGGGTGAGACATTCGTTCACATTAAAATGCAAACCTACCTAATTCACAGTTCTTGAAGCAACATGTGAATCAAAACACAGATGTCCTTAGAATTTGCACTTCTCCGAGTCTTGATATGTTGTTCTCCAACACAAATGACACCCAAAAGCATGCAACAAAGCATGTGTTATGGGAAAGTGCACACAAAACTTCATTCCTTGGGTTTATATATTAGGTGAAACGCAGATGAAAATGCACCTTAATTTTCAGGTGGTCTTTTTTGTTTTTTTTAAAGGGTTGCAGACTGGTATAGAAATGGGAGGAATTTAACTTGGGGGGGGGCGGGGGAGACCACCGGAGAACAATTAAAACTATTCCATCTCTATCACCTAGTTACAAAATATATGTGGACTGTGTCAAATATGCACAATGCATGCTAGTATTATGCACTCAGCTGCTTTTTTTTTTTTTTGCCTTCCAGCAGGGAAGCACATCTTTTCCCCCTACCACTCACAAGATCCCAACTGATCCCAAATGCAGAACACACCCACCCAAAACTTCTTTGCTGACTTGGTCCTGGTGGGCAAGCTGTTTTCCACCATTACCAATCAGCTCAAAAAAAAGCAAAGAAAAAAGCTTTTGATAAGCTTGTGGGGAACTCTGAGGTTCCTCGAGAGCAGAGTATGTAAACACTTGCTTTTTGCAATAAGCAGGGATTTGATTATGTGGGGATCTCTTGGATAGATGAATGCTAAGTGGTGGCTAACTCCTTCAGATCATTTCATGCACACCAATGGGGCAACTACACACATGCAAAACCTGTCGTTTTTCAGCTTGCCACAGCTAGCTGCACTGATTTGCAGTTGCATTCCTTTATTCAGTGTACAAGTAGAGGTGGGGACATTGCTGATTATTCCTCCTGCTGTCCCCGTGGTTTGTGTTTCTCTTGGATTAATTTCTGTATTTTCCAATAAACCTATACAGCAGCACATGACCTACAGTGTGATGGTATCTTAGCTTTATGAAAAAACCGCAAGGCTCCATAATAATTGTTATTTTTTCTGATGTGAGTCCCAGCCAGATCCTATAATATATACTAATAGTGAAGTCATTCTTCAAGTGTGAATCTTTATGTAACCAAAATAGCATCGCCTATGCACAAGAGGGAAGTAATCTGCAAGTTTGGGGAAATCCCAAGGTTTGCAGAAGCACAAAAAAGCAAGTTTGGGGGTCGAGACTAAAATCATTTTGGTAAGGACTGAGCATGCATAGTGGGTATGCAGCGCTGACTGCCTGTTTCAGAGGGGTGGAGGAGAATTGAAAGGGAGAATCTTGGAAAAAGAGTTTGGCTGGCTGGCTGGCATTCTGAACAGGAGCCCACCATACTGCAACATTTTGTTGCAGGTTCTTCAAATTCTCTTTTGAGTATCCACAAACAACCTTTCTCAAAGCTTTGAATATATGAAATGCCTCTGTGTCTAATGGTAGGCAGAGTTCTTCTCCCACAAATTTAGGTAACCACAGCCAATCTTCTACATCCTTTCAGGATCAGAATGCACCTTTCTTTAGTCACTGGCTGTTTTCTTACAACAATTCAGAGTTGATTAATACTTACTTATAAGGCTGCTGACATCATGCTCCTGTACTAGAAAAAACCCTAAACACCTGCTTAGTGGAGGGCAGTCTTTATGGGGCTACAGTGTCACACTAGTGTGCAGCCTCTCGCTGCTCTCATGCCTGGTATAGTTTTGCTTCTGGTTTACTTGGGGGGCAAGTAACTTTGGGTGGCAGATAAGTGGGTGGATCCAATTCTGTGCCACAACCAAGTCCAAGAACCCACATGCCCAGGTGTGCCATCCCTCCCCCATGCCTTTGCCACTAGTCACACTTATGGGGGTCGTAGACTATTTGTCTTGCATGCAAAAAGTAACAGCTCAGCCCACTTCTTCCAACACTGGAAGGACAGCAGGGTGACAAGGTAGGGATGGAGTACTGGAAGCTGAGGTCCTGAAGGGGTGAGAAGCAGCCAAAGGGGAAGTTAGGAGGCAATTTGCTGATCCCTCCAGGAGGAAATCAGGTAGTCTTACCAAGGACCTGATCTCACGACCCATTTCCAGCCCCACAAGCCATCAGAGATAAGGTGAGTCCCCTTTACCACCTGCCAGATTAAGAGAAGCTCAAGAGGCCTCCAGGTGGCTGAAGCCAAGGTACCATAGTGGTTGGACTAGGACCTGGGAGATGGACCATAAAGCTCACAGCATGGTCCTGGGCCAGCCACTGTCTCTCAGCCAAATCTAGCTCAGAGGGTTGTTGTGTGAGGATAAAGAAGTAAGGAGAAGAACCATGTAAATCACCTTGGAGCGTGGGTAGGGAAACTAAGGCCTGCGGGCCGGATCAGGCCCAATTGCCTTCTGGATCTGGCCCACGGATGGTCCGGGAATCACCGCATGGATCACCAGCATGCACGTTCTTCCCCTCTCCCTCCTTCTCCCTCACACAGCAGTGCCGCCTCCTCTTCCCTCCCTCCTCCTGGCTTATCCCTGCCCTGCCAAGAGGAGGAAGGGGGTGGGCTTTGTTGGTGCCAGCAGCAGCAGCACTCGAGTGGCCACCATTTTTAAGCAGCCCCTCTCCGGAGCCCTTTTGTTCACTGCTCATCATCCCTCCGCCACCGCCAGCCCCTGCTGCTTGCATCACCCCCCCCCAAATATAGTCTGGCCCCCCACAAGGTCTGAGGGTCAGTGGACCGGCCCTCTGCTGAAAAAGTTTGCTGGCCCCTGCCTTGGAGGAAAGGTGGAGGGATCTAAATGTAAGAATAAATATGACAAATGAAACCTTCTCTGGTCAGAAGCTGAGGCAGTGGTGCTATGGGAAAGTGTTGTAGATTCCTCCCAAATAATTTTGGGCTTCCATTGTTACCAGAGCAGCCCCAGAGGGAGACAGATGGCGGCAGTCACCTACTCTACCGAGATGATATCAGAAAGGGCCTTTTATCAGACAAAGACTACAATGAGAAAACAGGGTTTTTTCCACTTTCAGATTTATATATCTCGCTTCTTGTTCTCCAAATCATCAACAAGCGGCCCCCGCTTCTTGCTCAGCAATGACAGAAGCAGACATTCTTTTTCTGATATCAGGAGCTGAGAAACATTTGTGTTTCATTCTACACAGGACTCCTTATTTTCAATGTGGTGGCCCACATGAGTAACTAGCAGACACAAAGCGCAATGTGGTGGTCTTAGTACTTCCACCACTGAAGCCCTGAGCAGGGGCATGTGTCACTGGGCAAGAAGAACTGCGAACATCCCCACCACTTGTCTGGACGCTCCTTGTGGTTGTGCCGCTGCCAGAGGTATCACGGCTGCAAACACCTTCAGTTCTATGGCTGCTTCCATGTGTGTCTCCTGCTCCACGGTGGGGGCCACCATCACTCACTATCGCCCCCTCACTTCTCTGTACAGCTGAGGAGGAAGAAAAGAGAACAGCACATTTATGTTTTTAAGGGAACCTAGACTTAGCTTCCTACCAGAATAAGAACACACTTCTTATGGAAGCTTCCTGGCTTTTAGTGATCTCAGCTAGCCAAGTATCTAAGAAGATGAATTCATGTAGGGTAGACCCATCAAGGCCAGTTGTAAGACATACTAATGGGTAAGCATGGGACTTCCATATTCAGATGTTAGAGACAAACAACAGCAGATGCCTATAGCCACCTGGTCCTGCTGAAGACCCTTTGGGGTAGAGCATCTGCTGTGCATGTGGAAGATTCCAGGTTCAGTCCCCAAAATCTGCAGTTGGTGACGTATCTTGCCTGAAACTGTGGAGAGCTGCTCCTAGTTCACATGGAGCCACGTGGACCAATGGTGTGACTCGGTATAAGGCAAGACAAGACAGAGAAGCCAGTAGGAGAACACTTCAATCTCTCAGGACATTCAATACAGGATCTCAAAGCAGGTGTCTTATTACAACAGAATTTCAGAAACAGACTTGAAAGAGAAGTTGCTGAATTACAGCTTATCACTAAACTGCAAACTATGGAGAGACCTGGTCTTAATAGAGATAATGGATTCCTGTCTCATTACATGTGCTAATCATCTGCATACTATTCCTTGCTTTTTCCTGTAGGACTAATTGCAGTTGTTAACAGTCGTCAGCAGGTTTACCTGTTGCATTGATCCAATAACCCATCTCCTACTGCCCTCCTGAGAAAAACCCCACCCTCCCCTCCCACTATATATAAGGGTCTGGTGACTTCGGTTTCAGTGTATCTGAAGAAGTGTGCATGCACACAAAAGCTTATACCAAGAACAAACTTAGTTGGTCTCTAAGGCGCTACTGGACAATTTATTTTTATTTATTATTTATATATTTCAGTATAAGGCAGTTTCTCATGTTTTCATTATGATCTATGAGCTTATAGGCAGCCAGAGGCCCAGCACTGGAGAAGGAATGCAGGAGGACAAGATAAAGCTTTGAACTGATGCAACAAGGCACTTTTTGTTTTTAAGGTGGCAAAGCAGTTGGCTGGTTTACTCTGGTCTCACACTTACTGTCTCTTTGTGGTGTGGGTGGGTGGGGATTAGTGCTGTGCACCCAATCCATAAA